CACCGCCTCCGACGATGACGGCGAGGGGGGGCGGGCCCGGGCGGGCATGACCCCGGCGGACGAGACGGACACGCGGCTGGGGCCCGAATGCCAGGTGGTCGTTCCTCCGCTGCGGCCTCGGCCGGCCGGCGGGGCGGGGGCGGGCGAGCTGCGGTGGCTGGCGGGGAGGGTGGACGTCCCCGTGGGGGCCACGCGCGACGCGGGCGGCGTCGAGGACGCCGCCGCGCCAAGCATGTCGCCGGAGGCCAGGTGTGTATGGTGGGCGGGTAGGGTTTGGGTTTACGGGAGACGTCAGGTAGGGGGTGAAGGGAATGCGCATGCGTAGAGGATCGAGGGAGGCCCCAAGCCCGCGCGGCAGCGCCTGCGGGCACACCCTGGTCAGTCAGCTCCCACGCACCGCGTCTGGCCTGGGTGCTGCCAGCGCTCTACTTGGTGCCCTGCTTGCCACATCACTGACCCCACGAGCATGCACCTGGACAGGCGAGCCTGGATCGCGGCGGCGCGTGACAGCCTGGCCTCACGGCTGGGCGGCGAGGCCGCGGCGGCGCTGGGCCTGGACCGCATGGGCGCCGCGCTGTGCCCCTCCTTCACGCCCGCGGAGGAGGCGGCAGTAGCGGAGGGCATGCGCGCGCTGGGCCGCGACTTCCACGCCATCTGCGCGCGCTTCCTGCCCCACCGCGCCGCCGGCGACCTGGCCGCCTACTACTACAACGTGCTCAAGATCGGTGCCAGCCCGGCGGCGCGCGCCTGGCTCGACGAGCAGCACGAGGTGAGCCTGCTTTTGCAGGGGGGGAGAGGGGTGAGGGGTCGGGGGGGGGGGACCGGATGGTGCTGTGTGGGAGGAGTCGGGACCGCTCTGAGGCCCACGAGGGTGACGAGGCTTTCACTGCAACAGGGTTCACTGCCGCACCGCTGAGCGACCTGGTCCCCACCACCCCCTTTCTAGGCCGCCGCGGCGCAGCAGGCCGAGGCCGAGGCCGCCGAGCGGGAGCGGGAGGCGGAGGCGGCGCGGCGCGCGGAGCGGCAGGAGGCGGCCAACAAGAAGCGCATGCTGCGCGAGGCGGCCGCCTGGGTGCGCGCCGCGGGGCGCGCCCCCGCCGAGGCCAACTTCAACAAGTGCGCAGGGCTTGGTGGGGGTCCCGTCTTTGGTGCGAGGGGGGTGCAGAGTTTGGCCGCCGCGTGCACGGCCTCGGCGACCCCCTTCCTCCCCTTCCCAAAACTTCAAACCTCCAGGCCCGTGGTCAAGGAGCGGGCGCTGCGCACTGCCAGAGTCCTGCACGCCCTGGACGCGGCCGGGATCCCCGACGACGCGCTGCCGGCGCCGCTGCGCGCCGCCGCCACCCCCCGCACCCTGCTGGGCTGCAAGCTGGTGGCCCCGGACCCACGCCCCGCGCAGCTGGCGCCCGTCTGCTTCTGACGCGCTTGAAACGGATGTTGAGGGTCTGCGCGCGGCACCGTGGCAGCGCTCCCCGCCGCTGCACCACCCCTGTACTCTCCTGCAATCCCCCTCGTGACCCAGGATTCGCTCCCATGTATACATCGCGGCAATGTCTTGTTTTATTCCTGGGGTGGGGCTGGGCGTGTGGCAGCAGCGGAGGTTGATGCGAAAGAGACGCACCCACAAGGTAATGAAAGCACAGGAGAGGGGGGAGATGAGGATGCTTGTCGAGCCACATCGTGTTCGAGAGGCCCTCGAGCGATCGCCCCCCCCACTCGTGCTCGACAGCTATCACATCCCCACACAGACCCTCACACGCGCGCGCCATTGTAGTCGCGCTCCGCGTTGTAGGGCGTGAAGATGATCTTGGTGGGGTCCACCTCCAGCCCTGCGCCGCCGGCCTTGCGCAGGTGCGCGTCGATGACGTGGGGCGCGGCGCAGATGACGTGCTGCCCCTTCTGGTACTGGATCAGGGACAGGTGCTGCAGGGTGGAGATTATGTCGTCGGTCTTGAAGGCCGTCAGGTCAGACAGCTCCTTGATGCTCACTGAACCCTCCCGCTCACGCAGCAGCTTTGGAGATGGAGGAAGGAAGTGGGAGATTTGGGTTGGGCAGGGGTGCAGGGGTGTGGTGACATTGGACAGGGCTGGCACAGACGCCCCAATCACACCCGCGCCGCATGTACTCCCCCCCCACCCCCATCACATGTCCCTCACCGTGAGCAGCACGCGCGTCCAGTAACCGCGGTACGACACCAGGCCGAGGTCGGAGAGGGGCCGCTCGGGCGTCCCCACTTTGCCCTCAATCTTGGACAGCTCGTAGGAGAAGGAGATCAGGAACTTGCCATACCCCTGGGAGTGGAGGAGGAGATCAGAGATGGATCAGGGGTCTAGGGAAGCTGCAGAAAGGGCTCCCGATGTGGAGCCTCAACCAGACGAACACCCTGCTCCGAGATGTGCTCATTCAAGCAAGGCACTACCAACCCGGCACACGATCCCAGCCAACCCTCCCACCCACGCCGCACCCTTCGTTGGTAGGGAGGCAGCGTGAGGATGCAGGCCAGGTTGAAGCCCTCCTCGCTGCTCTTCTCCTTGCTAAAGTATCTGTCGCCGCACGGGATTGAGGAATCGGTGCAGGGTTGAGCGTGGGAAGCTTTGGTGCGGGGGGCAACCACGCTGGCCTGCGAATATGACCTCAGCCTCCTGATTACACAACAGTACCTTCCCCCAATCCCCTGGCCCCGCCCATCTCACCCGGTGATGTGGGCACCCCGCTCGTCACACTCGCACATAATGTAAAAGAGGAAGAGGTCGACGTCCCAGTACAGCGTCTTGTGGTCCAGGAAGAGCTTGGCCAGGTAACACAGGTTCTGGCAGTAGCCCTTGGCCTTGCGCCCGTCCACCTGGCAGAGGGGCATGCGGTGTTGGGGCCAGGATTAGGACAGCAGAATTTGCAAAGCACATGCACTGACTTCAGGAAAGTGGATGAGCACAGGGGCCTCGGCAGCGGCTCCCCATGCTCATACATGAGTGCGTAGTCAAGCACCCTCCCGCTCAACCCCACCTCAAACATGGAGATCTTGCCGTTGCGGTAGATCTCCGTGCCGGGCGGGTGCAGCATGGTGCACTTCTTGACGTGCGCCAGCATGTGCTCGCGGTGCTTGAAGAAGCACAGGTCGTGCTCTGAGAAATACATCTTCTGCGTGCATACCAAAGAAGAGAGGGTGGTTGGATGATGGCGGGGGCCGAGCAGGACCCAGGGGCTCCCTAGATGGTGCATGAAAACTTGATGGAGGGCAAAGAGCAGGCATGGCATCTGCATTCCCTCACCACTTAGAAAGGGCGCCCCCCCCTTTCAATCCCGCGTGCACCCAGTCTCTGCACCTTGCACTCTCTGTACTCTGGGGGAAAGGGGCTGAAGTACCAGGTCTCCATCTCGTACTTCCCCAGCTCAATGTCGGCGATGTTCTTGACCTTGGTAAACTCCTCGTGCTCCCGCAGCTGCGCGGGGTCAAAGTCCTCGTGTCCCTCCCCCTCCTCCTCGCTGTGCTCGTCGTCCACCTTCCGCTTTTGCTGCCGGGTTCTGTAGGCGTGAGTGACAAGAAGGGCTGTCAAAGTGGGTACGCCTTGCCTGGAGTGAGGAACGCGGCAGGAACACCAATGAGCAAGCTATGAACTGAAATCGCAGTACCCCATCCCAGCGTACTTGTCACCGAGCTCTGGTGGCTCAGGAGGGATGGCAGTGTCGAGTTGTAGGTTTGCCAGCGGAACCCACTCGTCCATCCTTCTATTGACTGTCGATGCTCAAAGAGGGGCCATTGGTCCCACCACAAATGCAGGGTCCAGACAAAAGAGGGGTCGCAGCAGCAGCGCAGCGTCTTATGCAGTTGCAGAGGCCTCCTTCCGAGTCCCCGGTTCATATCCAGCAGCTCCTGTGCTCCCCTCACCCTCGCCACTCACACTTGCGATAATGCACGTAATACTCGTAGTTGTTGGTGTCACCCAGTCTCCGGCGCTCTATGATTCGGGCCGGGTAGCACTTGCCGTCGCGATACTGGCAGTCAACCAGGGTGTTAACCTCCAATGGAAGTGTGACCTGCAGTTCAGTGGCGGTCATGTGGAGATCAGGGAGCTCCACATTCAGGAAGATCAAGCATCAGTCCAGGTACGCGTCGATGCCATGTCTTCCCACGTCGGAATATCACAGGCCAATCTCACTGTATCTGGAGCCTTAAACTCTCAACTCAAGTACTCATCGCCCAATAATACTCCATTTCGTACCTCGCTGCCGCGGCCAGAGGGCTCGGCAGGTGTGTCCACCATGTCGACAGGAGTGACCAGTGACTCGGTGGGGACCTTGCCTCCCATGATGCGCTTGCCCTTGCCCGCTCCCTGGATGCAGGGACATGCCAGTGGAGATGATACAGTGGCAGGACATGCACCGCCATTGAGGCACTGGGTGGCTGTGAGCGTGCCCACTCGCCCGGGAATGAGCTGCATGACAGGGGCGGTCAGTGCATGTACATGGAAAAACATGCGCTCGGCCTCTTTATGGCTGTCCCCATTCGCTCCCCACCTGCCGTGGCAGGTACTGATCGCCATCGATGGCAGGGGGTGCCGGGGAGGCACTGGCGGACCTCCTGCCCTCCGCGGAGGACCTCGCGCGCGTCATCTCCCGACACGGATGGTCGGTCTCCTCTGTCGGGCTGCGGCGCGGGAGGCCTTCGTCAGGCCACCGAGGGCGTGTGTTCAAGGTGTTGGGCGCCTCAGATCGGTGTCATTCCCACCACATGCCCCCATGAGGTGCTCCAAGAGGCTCACCTCCGTCTGTCGCATTTCGTGGGGCGTGCTGTGCCTCCACGCAGCACGCCGATCTGCGGGTGCTCGCGCATGCCGCCCCTCCCGGGCTGCTTCTGGACAAACACTCGGGCATCAGTACCCTGCGTTACATCACACGATCACCGGGCGCTGGCGCGGGACGTGCAGGTAGTCCACCACCTTGAGCGCTGCCTCGGGGGGCGTGCCGCGCAGGGTGTACCCGCCCCTGACCTCGACCGGGACCCAGCGTGAGGGGTGGCGTGCGCGCCAGCCCGGCACGCCCGCGTCGCCCCCACCCCCCGGGGCCCTCCAGGCTGGGTCCTCCCGCCAGGCTCTGGGCACGGTGTCCAGGCCCAGGGAGAAGATCTCCAGGTCGCCCGCGGGCGTGATGTGCATGCGCAGGAAGCCCTTGTGGTCTGGCACCTGGAGCGAGCTGAAGGCCTCGTCGTAGTGCACCCCGAACCTGCATGAGTATTTGGGTGGGTGGGTGGGTGGGTGGGTGAGTGGGGTCTGGCTGCTGGCTCTGCTTGAGGTACCGCAGGAGGGGGGGACAGGAGCGGCTTGATACGGCATGCCCCCAGAGCACGGGAAGCAGGAGCATGATCCCCCTGACTGTCTGAGGGGCCTCCTGGTTGCCTCATGTCCGCCCTCGACCTTTGAGGCAAACGCCTCATCATGCTCATGTCACCCCCCCAGCTCCCCCAATCCAGCCAGCTCCCATATCCAAGCTGAAGCAGGGCTATGTTCTGCCCCACCACAACACAACCTCCCTCGGCCCGGCATGCACCTCCTTGTCCCATCCACAAGATAATACCCCCCACCAGCCCGCACCAGTTGACGCAAATGTAGAGGTAGGCGCCGAACACCAGGGCCACCGTGGGCGTGGCCAGGAGCCAGTAGTAGGCCAGCACGCCGCCGTAGTAGCCCAGAGCCTGCAGGCGGTTGAGCTCCCGCCCCGCGCACAGCAGGTCGCGCGACACGGCGATGGCCTCGGGCGCGTCGAAGGCCGCCATGGCCCACTTGATGGCCCCCGGGTAGAGGCCCAGGGTCCAGCGCTCCGCCGCACCGCGCATGTCGGCGGGGTCGGGGAAGTGGGCGGCCTCGTACTGGCGGTACCACTTGTACAGGCTGTGGTACCCTTCACGCCCCAACTGCTCGTGCCGGATCACGGTCTCGATGCCCAGCTCCAGCAACAGGAGCAGGAATACCGCGCAGCACACGTGCGCGGCACAGTGCAGGCTACGTGATAGGGGAGGAGGGTATTGAGGTGGGTTTGTGAACGCGTAATTTTCTAGGGGAGTCGGGTGATACAAATCACAGCCATGGCAGGTGGAGTGCCGGCACTCTCACACATCCCACTCCTCACCACAACCTCACCTCGCAAACAGGAAGCGGGTGGTGAAGCCACCCAGCCGAGCACGCACGGCCAGGCCCCTGCCCTTGAACTCTGGGCGCTGCCGGTCTGCGGCCGTCGCGTCTGGGCGAGGACGAGATGGGCGGGGTGGGTCAATGGTGAGCCCCCATCGCCAGTCGGGCAGCTCGACATGACACAGCTCACACAGGGTGCCCATCCACAGACTCTGCCCTCCCTTCCCTCCCACATCATCTTGCAGGCTCACCCCCTTTTGCGCCGATGCCGCCTGTGGCGGCAAAGCCCAGGGCCAGCGCGGCCATGCACAGCAGGGCCAGCAACGACACGTAGGACTCCAGGAAGATGTCGCTGACGGTGTCGGCCGCGGCACCCAGGAGCAGGCTCAGGCCGGTGCCCCAATCCGGCGCCTCCAGCACCGCCGCCAGGTGACGGCAGCGCGGCAGCACCGAGACGACCAGCAGGTAGTACAGCGCGCCCCCGATCACGTCGAACCGGGTGTTCATGTTTCGGAACATGTGCAGGTTGCGCCGCCCGATGCTCTCCGACTGCGGGGTGGCGGGGTAAGGCAGCATCGCGAGGTACGTGGGGCCCGTGCGGCGGCGGGTGCTGTGGCGCACGTGCCAGCAATGCATGGATAGGGCCAGACTGTCCATGAACCCCTCGCCCGGCTCCGATGACGGGTGCGACCGCCACGGGATCAACCTCATCAAACAGCCACTGCGCGGTGCAGACAGCGAGAGCACGATCTTGAAGACACACGCTCATCCAGCAGCACACCTGCTGGGCGCTGGGGTAGGCGGCGGCGCAGCGGTACTCGCCTCCCGGCGGGCACGACGGGTCCGGCGAGCGCCCGCGCAGGCCGGAGGAGGCGCCGGGGCGCCCGAAGCCCTCGCCACTCGTGCCTGGCGGCAGGAGGGATGGGTGTGATGTGCGCAGGCTGGTGAAGCGCGACGGACGATTACAGCATGGCCCAATGTCATGGTCATCTCCCACCTCTCCTGAGGTCCCTCCCTGCCCCACCCCTGCATCGCGAAATGTTTTTCCTCCCCATCACCAGCCTCACTTGACAGTCCCAGGACACTCAACACGCCCCCAACCACGCCTCACCTGCACGGTCGCAGACGAAGAGGGGCCCCGCCGCGGCGTCCCGCGGCGGACGGAAGCGCGCGTAGGAAAACGCGTGCGTCGGGTGCAGGAAGGCGCCGCCCGACCCCGACACCAGCAGGTGCTCCGGGTCGGTCAGCCGCCAGCCGGCCTCCGGCGCGGGCGGCGTGCCGCCCGCGGTGCCCGGCGTCGTCCCCGGCCGCCCCCACGCGCCACTTCCCCCGCCGCCCTGCCCCTCCCCCGCGGCCATCCTCAGCTCGGGCCACCAGCTGGAGGTGAGGACCGAGGAGGTGGAGGCCGCGGAGGGCGAGGCGTCGCCGCCGCACCCGCCCCGCGCCGGCACGTGCAGCGGCGTTAGTGCCGGCAGCGGGCCTGAGCCGCCAGAAGGAAAGCGCGGCGTGTCGCCGCTGGCCTCGGCCTCCTCGCTCACCGCCGCAAAGGGCGTAAGCGTCTCGCGCGGGGGCGGCGTGCCGCCCGCCGGGCCCCGGCCCTCCAGGCGCTGCGCGGCGTTGGCCCCGCCCGGCGCGGCGCCGACGGGCAGCAGGCTGGGCGCGCTGGGCGAGCGCCCGTGCGCGCCCAGCGAGCCGCCGTTGCCAAAGGGAGGCTGCATGCCGTGGCGCACGCCCGCCGCGCCGCCCGCGCCACCGGCGGACAGGTGCGCCATGATGCGGGCCTGGACCGCAGTGGGCGACACGCCGGCGGGAGCGCTGGCGTCGGGGCGCGGCGTGGGTGCGCGGCTGGACCCCGGCGACCCCCCGACCGGCGACCCGCCGGCGGGCGTGGACGCGGCGCTGGGCACCAGGCTGGAGCTGGCCCCTGGCGCGTCGTAGGGCTGGAAGGAGTGGCGCATGTAGAAGTGGAGGTCGCCCGCCACGGCCAGCCGCGCGCGGCCGCGCAGAGGGCCGCGCACGAGATGCCGCAGGTTGTTGGCGGTGTCGGTGCCCCAGAACCAGTCCACCAGCCAGCGCGGGCAGTGCATGATCAGAATGGCCTGGTCGGTGGGGGCCATGCGCGTCTCCGCAACGCGCGCAAAGTACCTGGCGTGGGAGTAGGGGCCGGAGCGTGGGTGTGTTGGAGTTTGGATGCCTCCCAGGCCGCCTTCGCGTTGGTCTCCCCGACCCTGTGGACACCCCCTTTTCGCCCCGAAAACCAACAGACAGACGCACGTACTTGTACTGGCAGGTGTCAATGTCGTCCACGAGGGCCAGGTCTATGCCAAACACCCACCACCCCGCCGGCAGCCTGAGCGCCCAGTACGACTTCTCCTGGGGCAGGAGCCAGCCCCCCAGCCAGCCGCGGTGCAGGATGTGGCGGGAGAAGGTCTCCAGCCCATCGATCCAGTCGTGGTTGCCGGGGATGGCAAAGGAAGACGGACCCTCGTACCGCCGCAGCGCCGTGGCCTTGTGGCACAGCCTGGGTGGGCGGGATTTTTGAGAGGGGCGGGGGAGGAGTCGCCGGCGAAGACGGGCGATGGGGCGGGGTGACAACAAGATCTCAAACGCGACGTCCACAGGACCGGTCTGGCCGCGCTGGAATGAGGCCTAGAACACACACTTTTCCCGCCCCAGCTCTCTATCTCATCCCTTGAAGAGCAGCAGCGGGCCTGCAAAGTATCACCCCCCTCTCCTCACACGCCTGCACACAGGGCCCGCCCCGCGCCGGGGACAAGTGGGCAGGCAGCGCGGGGGCGGCGTCCACAGCCCGCGCCCAACGTCCGGCTTGTTGACCACAAGGTGGCCCTTGTGTACGTGGGGGGGCGGCGGCAGCGCGGCCTCGTACAGCGAGAAGAGGCGCGTGCGGTACGTCTCCTCTGGGGGTTGGTTGTTGTTCAAGGGTGGGAGGGGGGTGGGTGGGATCCCGCACACCGCTGGCATTGCCGGCAAGTGTAAGGCTGGGCGGTATGCCAGCGACAGTGATACAGGGAGCACCCAGGGACATCAACGAATCGTCGAGCTGATGGTGGCGTTGCTCCCCGGGATTCTATCGGGATCCACAACCCATCACCCTTTCACACAACCCATGCTCCTCCCCGCTCTGACACCCACCGCACCCGTGGGGTTGGGATAGGCCAGGTCTCCGCCGTGCAGGAGCACGCGGCCGCGCGGCAGCGTGCGCGTGCGCTTGGACGGCGCGAAAGACGGCCCGGCGTGCGCGGCGGCGCCCGCCGCCGCCGCCTCGGCCGGCAGCGCCACCTGGATGGAGGGCGCGGCGAGGGCGCGGGCGACGGCATAGGTGGGGTCGCCGCCGTCACCGGTGTCGGCGCAGAAGTCGAACCAGAGCTCGCGCCCCTCGGCCAGGTGCTCAAAGGTGAAGCCGTCGCCGTCCTGGGGCGTGGGGTCGGGCGCCACCCACTCGCTGGCGGTGGCCACCTGCATGGTGCGCATGTCGAAGCGGCCCAGGAAGACCTTGACCGAGACCATGAGGTCGAACAGCGTCTTCAGCAGGTCCGCCGAGGTGCCCGAGTACCAGGGAAACATGGGCAGGAAGGCGGGGGCGGGCGCGTCGTCGGGCAGGCGCTGGGGCGGGGGCGGGGCGGGCGTCCGCGGGCTGCCTTCCCCACCCTCGCCCCAGCCCAGCTCCAGCCCAAAGTCGTCGCGGAAGAGGAGGGAGGAGGCGGCGCGCAGCTTGCGCGGGCTCCACAGAGACCCCACGCTGGACATGGTGCGCACCAGCACGTCAAAGCTCGTCCTGAGGTTGAAGTTGGTTGGTTGATGAGGAGGGACATCCAAACGGGTGCGGGTGCATGCGCTGGCCCTCTCCACGCCGGCAAGGAAGCAGGCAAGGAAGAAGAGGCCTGTGTCGGCAACAGGCGCCCTCCTCGACCATACACGCCTCCCCCAGTCAGTCACAGGGACCAATAAAAACAGTACCCAACCCCCTGCCCCACCTGCTGGGCATGGCGCTGCGCCCCTGCTGGCCCAGCAGGTCGTAGCTCAGGTCGGCGCTGCGCCGCCAGCACCCGCCGCGAGCGCCGCTGCTCCGCAGCCAGCGCTGCGCCACGACAGGATGAGTGTGTTCGTGTTTGGCCTGGATGGATCCCGTCCGCGGCCCTGGGACGCTCGCCGCCACCTCCAGACCCTCCGCAGCCCCCACCCTCTGGCATCCCCCACCCCCCACACCCCGCCAGGCCGCACTCACCCTTCCTGCGCGCCAGCGAGGCGGCGGCGTGCATGGCGGAGGCGGCGGCGTAGTCGCTGAGGCAGGTGGCCCCCAGCATGGCCACCAGGGTGAGCCAGAGGCTGAAGATGGGGGAGATGGTGCCGCCCTCCCGGTCCAGCACCAGGCCCGGGGCGCCCGGGGGCAGCCCCTCCCGCGCCTCCTCGCTGTAGATGACCCAGGAGGAGAAGGCGGGGAAGGCGGCCACGGGCACCGGGGCCAACCAGCGCTCGCAGACCGCCTTGCGCCAGGGCGAGCGCTGGACGCCCGTGGGGCGGAAGAGGTGGAGCAGCGTGGCGCGCGGCCCGGTGCCCGGCGGCGCCTCGCCCCCCGCCTCGGCCCCCGCCTCGCAGAAATTGTGGTAGGTGGAGCAGGCCAGCGCCAGGTTGGCGGCGTGCAGCGCCACCACCGAGGCGGCGGAGGGGTGGGCCAGCCAGGGGCGGACCCAGGCGAGGGCCAGCGCGGCAGCGTGGGCCGCCGCTGCCGCGCCCAGCACCGCCAGGGAGAGCAGGAAAGTGGTGAGCAGGATGGAGAGGTCGGCGCGGAGGTCGATGCCCAGGCTGTCCAGGGAGGGGAGGTGGTAGAAGACAGCGGAGCAGAGCCAGAGGATGTACAGGCTGCTCCAGCTGATCTGGGCGCTGCGGCGCGGGTCACGAGGGGGGTGGAGAGGGGGTCGCTGGTCTGAGGGAACGGGAGGTGAGCAAGCACGCGAGGAAGATGTCGATGAGTCGCCAGCCAGGGACAGGCCCTTTACATCTCAGCAACGCCTGCACACAACACAAACACCCACCCGGCGGCAGAACCGAGGCGGAGGTTGATCTGGGGGCGCACATACAGGTATGCGAAGAGGCACGTCGCGCCTGCGGTGATTGCGGCCGGCGAGCGAGGCGAGGGGTGAGCGAAGTGAGGGGGCGAGTCTGCACGTGCGGCGCGACGGACGACCACCTCATCGCTCCAGCACGCAAGAGGGCACAAAGGCAACAGCCCACCCATAGAAACGGGCAGGCAGTGCGTGCGGCAGCAGCCTACCGAAGAGGTAGTACCAGCGTCGGTTCAGGTTGAACCTCTCCACCACTCCCTAAGGGGTTCAGAAAAGGGAGCGGGTGGTTTGGCGCTAGAATTTGGCAATGGCAGGGCCATGAAGAGGCGCAATGCCACCATAGTTGCAAGTTTCGGAGTCGTGAGACTGCTGTGGTGAGGCTCTGTCTGCGCTATGGACCGCCCCTGCTGCATGCCTGTGTCGAGAGGCTGACATCCCTCACCCTCACCCCTTCCCCGGGCACCCCTCTCCCACCTGTGCGCTGTCGATCAGGACGCATGCAGCCGAGAATGTGATGACCAGGTAAATTGCATACTGCGTATGCTTGAACCCAGTCACGTGTGTCGCCATCTTTGGTGGTCTCGGATGCCACCTCGCTGCCAGGCCACTCACTCGCAGCCACTCCGGTCGGGAGAGGGGCAGAGGGGCCTGTGGGAACCCTCCAGGACAGTCATCGAGGGTCTAAGTTTCCACATTCCATTCGAGCGGTCTGTGATTCAGCACAGGCATTGATGGGCGAGCGGGGTGAAATGCCGTGGTCATGTGAGGCAGCACTGGAGAATCCGCATCTCGACAGCAACTGTTCAAATGTTCCCCGATCCCGGTCTGCCACCACACCCAACCACCCCATCATCTCCTGCTCTTAGATTACAAACATCCGATCAGCAGCGAGGGAATCAGCACACATGGTATTGATCAAAACAGTGCTCCGCCCTTGCTCCGTGCAGCCCCGGGCCCACCCTAGGGGGTGAACTTGGTGGCAGCCGCGAAGCCGTTGTTGGTCCAGGGGTCGGCCAGGTGGTCGCTCAGGTTCTCCAGGGGTCCCTTGCCGGTGACGATGGCCTGGACGAAGAAACCAAAGTTGGCAAACATGGCCAGACGGCCGTTCTTCAGCTCCTTCACCTTCAGCTCCGCCAGCGCGTCGGGGTCGTCGGCCAGGCCCAGGGGGTCGAAGGCCTCACCGGGGTACAGGGGGTCCAGGCCTTCGCCGGCGGGCCCGCCGTTCACGCGGTAGCCCTCCACCAGGCCCATGAGAATGACCTGGGAGATGAGGGTGGCCACGATGGACTGGGCGTGCACCAGGGAGGGGTTGCCCAGGTAGTCCAGGCCGCCGGACTGGAAGATCTGGGAGCCGGCCTTGAACCAAACGGCCTCGCCGAAGGAGGCGGCGCCGTTGCGCTCCAGCAGCTCGGGGGTGATGATGCCCAGGGCGCCCAGCAGGGCCCAGCGGGCGTGGATCACCTCAAGCTCGCGGTAGCGGGCAAAGGTCTCGGGGTCGGCGGACAGACCGGCGGTGTCCCAGCCGTAGTCACCGGGGTACTCGCCTGACGGTGGGAGGGGGGGAGGGGGGGCGGGGGAGGGTGAGAATGGATCTGTATGGGGGGTGGAATGCGATGCAGCGACGAGATTCAGCAAGATGGAGCTGCAGGAGCTACGCGGCCAGGCAGGGACACGATCCTAGCAGTGCCATCCCATCGCTCAATGACTCAGGCCAAAGTACAGGATGGCGGATTCATCACACGGCTCCCACATGCCCCCGCTCACCCTTCAGGTAGTCAGGGGTGGAGTCGCCGGAGAAGGGTCCCAGCCACTTCACGCGGTCTGCGAAGGAGTGAGCATTCGGATGATGAGCGCAGGTGCACATGGAGAGTGGATATCGAGTGGCCTGGGGCCAGGCCAGGTCAGGGGGGGATCACACGACCGAGGGAGGGGCACTGCTCCCCGGCCCAGGGCAAGCGCAAAGAAGGCAAGCGAGCACGGCCAGCTACTCACTGGGGCCGTAGAACTCGGCGGCGGCCCTGGTGACCTGGCGGGTGCCCTGTAATGACAAAGGGTTGGGGCAAGCATGTGTGAGATAGGGTCGGGATGGGTCGGGACCTGGGAGCTGATCGGGGCCCACTGTCGCCCCGAAACCGTTGCTCGATCGAGGGCCCTGGCGTCGCATGGGAGCTAGTTTCCAAAAAGAAATGCAAAGGCAAAACACACCAGACCATTGCAATCACTCACCCGTCCAGCGGTGGGGACGGCGCTGCGCAGGGTGGTGCCCATGGTGGCGCGCATGGCGGTCTGCATGATGAAGAAGAAGCCGGTTGAGATGCTAGAAATGAAATAGAGAGGATGAATCTACCGAAATCCGGCGCTGATGAGCTCTATTTGCTCGGGGCACGCTACCGCATCTTGTTCCAGCAGGAGTAGATTTGGTCGGGATACCCTGGTGCGGTGCCCTCGCACCAGGGTTTATGCTCCCACAATCGTATCCCACCCTCGGATTTTCCCCCATCTGTCATCGTACGTCGGCCACGAGATCCATGGGGTGGTGGGATCTGCGTGATTCCTGACGTCAGCTTGTCCTATCAATAAAATTTAGATGCTCGAGTGTTCATAGCCCTGCGGTGCGGTCGTGCCCCGTGCGGGCCTCTCCAGATACCCCCAGACTCCGCCTCTCCGAGCACGTGCCTGGGTATCCGCTTTTTTGAGTTAATACCTCCATGACATGTACCAAGAGACTACAATATCATCATGGTAAAACCTCCGCATTCAGAGCACCAGGCAGCCAGGATCATCCCAGGACCATGGGCCCTGCCCCTGCTGTGTCCAGAGCATTCACCGCCGCCTCGGAGAGCAGGCTGGCACCCTCCGCCGACCCGCCGTCGAAGGGCTGGGCCATGGCGCGCATGAACTCCCGCGCGATGCACAGGAGCATGTCGGTGGAGAGGTTGAGGTGCGCGTCCCGCAGCTGGCTGGAGATCCAGCCAGGCAACTTGTCGCGCTTGTCGTGGCGCTGGTAGCGCTTGTCCGCGAACACCATCAGCCCGTAGTCGGCCTTGGAGCGGATGACGCGGCCCACGCACTGCGCCGCCTGCCGCACCGCGTCAAAGGCCAGGAAGTCCGACTCCTTGATCTGGAAGGTCTCGCGAAGGTATTCCAGCCGAGCCCTGGGTGGGTGTGGGGTTGCACGGAAGCAGAGGGGTGGGATGGGATGGGGGGGAAAGTGGACGGAATGAGATTCTGTGAGATGTTGGTGTTGGGATGAATGAAAGAAGGGTCGATGTGAGGAGCTGTCCGAGCTATCTTGGGGCGAGGCCCGGGCCAAGGGGCCGGCGGCTCGCGCGGCAGATCACGCCCGCGGCGCACCCGTATCTCAGCATGTTTCTGTTTCTGCCCAGCACCTCCAACCCTGCCCATGAACATCTGGGCAGCACCTGAGGATGCGGCCCAGCGTGTACTGGTAGGGCACCCCAAACATGACCACGCAGCGGCCGTAGTGCCGGTCAAAGTCTATGCCCTCCGCCACCTTGCCCCTCGCCACACTGCATTGGTGTCAGGCTGGACTGGAACGGGGAGAGAGGGAGAAGGCGAGCAGGTCCAGGGCAGCATGCATACAAGAGTGAGGTGCAGGAGCAGGGGCCGTTGCCACCGAGCCCCCGCGGACCGCAAAGGCCACTCCGCCGGGCAGCCTTTGCCATCGGCGCCGCCCACTTCACCCCTTGCACCACCGTCATGCACCTGAAGAAGATGGCGCCCCGCCCGCAGTCGCACGCGCGCCGGTAGTTGTCCAGCGCCAGCGTCGTCTCCACCACGTCCACTGTCTCGATGAAGACCAGCTTGTGCGTCATGAGCGCCGACAGGATGCCCATGTCGTTCCAGCGTGACACTATGGAGTCCATGTAGGAGTAGGAGACGAAGAAGCAGATGATGCCGTCGGGAACCACCGCCGCCAGGTCCAACAGCATCCTGCCTGAAATTGCGATGGGGTTGGTGGAAAGGGTTGAATGGAGCAGAGGGTGTGATGCTGGCAGATATGTGGTGAAGTACATGCCAATCCTGGCGCTCCTGGGGACCAAAGGATGCAGAGAATTCTGGTCTTGAGGCAGACCGCCTGCTGCCAGCCCACTCGGGAGAGGCCGAGGAGCGGATACCGCAACTGAAACCCCTAGCCTACGATGGACACCAGTGCGCACAGCCTCCACATGGGTCAAATGTCACCCACACAAACCGTGACAGCATTCCCCCCAAACTGCAACCTGCCCACCGTAGTTCCTGGTGACAGCCGGGTCGTCACGCATGTCAAACTTGGTGGACACCGGCAGCTGGTCCCCACCGCGCGTCAGGACCACGGGGCAGAGGCACTGGCGCGTCAACGTCATGGCCAGCGAGGCCAGGCACACGGGCTTGAAGTCCAGGATGCGGGGGTAGAGGTCAATGGGGGACAGCGTGCCCGAGGTGATCACCACGCTCTGGAACTTGGCAAACACAGGCTTGATGGCCAGGCTGGCGTCCAGGCACGCCAGCTGGATCACCGGATCTGGCACCTGCCGTAAGGAAGGTGATGTGGGAATTGAGGGATGGACACTGTTTGCAAAGGTTGAGGGGTATGGGATAGGAGCATTGTCATTGGGTGCTGTGAAAGGGACGTGCTTCGAAGTGGCAAAGCGATGCAGGCCACATCCCTCTTCTTCATGCGTGACAGATACAGGGGCAGGGGCTCGTTCTGCAGCGGAATGGCTGTACCATCAGCCGATGCAGCTTTCTCCTCCCACGTGAACACACACACACCACCCCCGCCGGCTGCACATGCCAGCTTGGCGCTGCTAGTCCACATGCATGCCACCTCACAGCCAGCTGCACTCTCTTCCCCAAGCCGCCTTCCTTCCACTCCCAAATCCCCTCACCCCGGGCATGCGCTCGTCGTAGGGCTCCACGATGATGGCAAAGCCCTTGGTGTAGGTGCCCACCAGCGTGGCAAAGTCGGCCACGCGATGGATGGGCCCAAAGTCGTCGGTGGCCGAGATCTCCAACGTCTTCATGAGGCTTGTCAGCCGGTCGTAGCAGAAGCGCAGCGTCTTGCCCTCAATGGCAACCACCTGGGGAGGAGGGGCGAAAACGAGAAGGAGGGGTGGTCAGGGTGGTGGCCTGCACTGGGTGTCTGCTGTCGAGCGTGAGGTGGGTGTCCCACAGAGGAGTGTGGCCTCCATGGCCAGACACGGCCACCATTCCCCAGTCAGGACCGCAATCACCCACTGGGACTTCCTCTCACGCTCTGGAGGTGGGTGAGGAAGGAGGTGGGGGTGTCGGACACCACCTGGTTGACGTTGAGCCGCGTGCGCAGGAAGGAGAGGAAGCGCTGGAGGAAGGCGAGGAAGTGCTCTGAGGCGGGTGGGGAGTCGGGAGGTTGGGTCATTGTGAGTGACTCTGAGGCACCCAGGTGGTACCTGGCACCCTCTTGGATCCCCCCCAGGCCACCCACCGGCACGGCGGATGTTCCCCGGCACCGCTTCCTGGAGGATGTCGGCCGGCAGCGCCGGGTTCGCGAGCCACTGCTCGCTCTCCCCGCCGCCCCTGAGGGCCCCCTGGCTCGCAAGGCCCTGGGAAGATGCCGGGCAGAGGGAGTTACTCAGCAAAGGGCGGCAGTCAGGGGGCAGGCAACTGCAAGCATGCCGTGATACGGCCACCCTGCTCCCATCCCTGTGACCTCCCATACCCACCCACCTGCACCAGGCGCTGGTACTCCCGCTTGAGCCGGTCGGCGTCTGTGGACTTGACGCGCTCAATCTCGGACCGGAGGCGAGCCACGTTGCGCCCCGCGGCATCCAGGCCCTGCTGCCTCAGCTCCACGCTGTGGGTGCCATGGCATGGGGGGGTGGTTGGGGAGACAGGGTGAGGGGTCCGGCGGTGGCCCCGTTCAACATCCATGACTGCTGCGCATGTCACACACCAGGACCCGAGGACGCTTGCTGGGCGCGGATGTAGTTTCAAGGGGAGACTCAATCCCTGGGGGGCCCATCCACAGGGTCATGCCCGGCCAGCTGTCTTTGCTGTACTCCTCCTTCACGAAGCGGGTCTCCCAGCTGCGCAGCGTCCTTCCCACCCATCCTCAACCTCCCCTTCCTGTACTGACCCCCACCCCCTTCATTTCCCCCTCTTTCTTCACCTCAGCGCCTCGATGCACACATTGTCGATGTTGTGGGCCTCGTCGAAGACCACGATGCACTCGCGCTCCATCTCGCGCGACACCATGGCTGCCACCTTGGGGTCCAACAGGTACTGATAGTTCCAGACCACCACGTTGGCGTAGGCCACCATGTGGCGCGCCAGGAAGTAGGGGCACCAGCGCCGCTTGCGCCCCAGCGCGCGCAGGTCGTGCATGGTGTAGACCCCGGCGTCCAGGCGGCCGTCGGCGCCCGCGCCCTCCAGGCCCTCGAAGAACTCGCAGAGCTCAATGTCAGGCACTGCGGCCGGCACCGCGGCGGCGGCGCCGGCATCCGTGGTCTCCGCGCCGGGGCGGGCTGCGCCGCGCGCCCGCTCCCGGACCCAGGAGGCGGTCAGGCGCATGCACCGCGCGTCCACACTCTCTCGAGACCCCTCCTCCGCCACGCGCGGGTGGATGCACAGGTTCTTGCGACTGGACAGGCCCAGGGCCAGCAGCTTGGGGGCGGGGGCGTCGGTGAAGTAGCGGGATCGATACTCGATCAGGTCCTTGACCTCCGCCAGGACCTGAGGGGGGTGGGAAGGGAGAAAAAAGAGGGTTGGGGGGGGAAGCCTCAGGGCTAAGGTGCTGTACACCTGCAGGAGCAGGCAGGCCATTACACCCGGATCAGAGCCTCGGTCCCGCCTCGGCAACTGCCGCTGCATAGGGCGCCCTGCGCCCCCGACACACACCATCACCTTCTCCATCTCTGGTACGGTGCGCGTGCAGTATATGAGCTTGCCGGTCTCGGGGTGGGCCAGCTGGTACGAGGTGATGAGGGACAGCAGGGTGATGGTCTTGCCTGTCCCCGTCGGCATCTGGAAAGTATGGAGGAGGGGAGGCCGGTCTGTGATGTCCAGGGGCTGCAGGAGCGAGTGCGCGGCCCAGGGGCCCCTGACATCCGATGGCAGGACAGAGGGCATGCCCATGACATGGCCTCCACCCTCATCCCCACCTCCAGCAGGCAGTGGCCCTTGGCGTCCAGAGCATGCTTGAGCTCCAGCATGTACTTGTACTGCTCGGGATAGATGTACTCATAGGGGAAATAGACCGTGAGGCCCTCCAGGAGGAACCTCATGCTGGGGACCCGTGCCTGATGACGTGCTCGTGTCGATCGGTGGCCTGGGCCAAGGCTCTAGACACGGCAATGACCCCTCATGCCATCCACTGTCCAAAGTCCACGCGCCAAGGACGGGGACTCCGCCTGTGGCCAGCGTGACGACGGCGTGGCACACCCTGTTTCGGGTGGCGAGAGCCTTGCCAACTGCAATAAGGCTATGATGGCGGCGTCACTGACGGTAACTAAACGTGTCAATATTTGAAGAATCCAGTATATATAGGTGTGCGTCCAGCCTTGCTGCTTGGGACTCTCCAAGCAAGGAGTGTCGACGATGTGATCACCGAACCCACAACAGGCAAGCACCCAGTTATTATGTGGGCACGTTTTCACAGAGGAGGCATCATTCGGATCAATTCCACTCTCTGAGTGTCGCTCCTAATCGGTGCCAGGCGCAGAACTGCACCATCTCAGACAGGGATGCTGCCCATGAAATGCTCCGGAAAACCCATAATCCATGTCGTCTCCGCTCGGTCGATGGGAAGTACAGGTTGTCGCCCCCCGCCATTTCCAGCATCTTTGCGCTTGGGGCAATGTCCGCGTTAATGAGGTCTAACCGAGACCGGACTATTGCGAATTGAAAACTATATTCCAAAGCCCGCTGCGATCTACTTCGGTAGTCGTAGCAATTTCTGGACAGGACTCTCGCAGTCCTTAACCCCCCCCCCACACTATCCTCCACCATTCACCTCCACTGAAATTCAATCAATACATGTTGACAGTTGTTGGTGTAAGCAGTCAATGGTGCAGTGTGCCGAGGAGCAGCGGGGTGTACTATTGGTGACATACAGCATGGGATACAGTGAAAGAATTCGTGCAAGGACGCAGGGCGCAAAAGCAATATACACATCATCTGGCTGGTCGTACATCCTGCTACCGCTTCTTGGCGGCTGCCTGGCCTGCCTGCCACACGTCCGCAGCCCTGACTTGCACGCGCAGGGCCCCCGCCCTCACCGTCAGCACGTCCCCCGCAACCTTGACCACCATCCCCGTTGCGCCCTTCAGCTGCGCGACAGCCACAATGTCCCCGACGCGCACCACGGGCGCTGCCCGGGGGTTGGGCGCCCCCGGGGGCTGCTTTTCCCGTGCCGGCTGCAGCCGGCCACGCATCTGGGTTAGCTCCCGCCGCGCAGCCTTGCCGTCCAGGAACCCCGTCCTTGCCTCGTGCAGCATGGTACGGATGCGAGCCTTCAGTTCTGCCTCATCCGCAGCAGCCTGTGCAAATTGAGGGGAGGGAGGGGGGGGGAACCCAGGGTGAAAGGTTGCCGCCAGACCTAGCCTTCCCCCACAGAAGGAGGGCATCCAAGTTGCCGAGCCCATCCGCCCACCACCACCAACATCCAGGCCCCCTTTGCAAGCGACCCACCTCCTGGGCCATTCTTTCTTCGACGTTCGCGGCCTCCCGCTCGCAGGCCAGCAGCTCAGCCTCGGCTGTGGCTCGCTCCCGCAGAGCCGCCTCCAGCGCCCTTTCCGCCGCCGCCCTTTCTTCGCGCAGGCCGCCCACCTCCTCCGCCAGGCCGCGCAGCGACTGCCGCGCCGGCCCCTGCGCCGCCGAGCTCGCCGACGCACCGCCGCCCGCCAGCCGGTCGCGGGCGGCGGCCAGGATGTCGGGGTCGAAGCCCAGGCCCTGCGCGATGCTCAGCGCCATGGAGGGCCCCGCCACGCCCCAGGTCAGGCTGTAGGTGGGGTGCAGCGTGGATCCGTCGAAGCCCACCGCCGCACAACAGAAGTCGTCGCGCGACGTCGCCAGGGCCTGAAAGTGGGGACGGGGCTTGTTGGGTGGCGTCGGTGGTACCTTTGCACGGCAGTCATTTTGTGCAGGTGAGAAGGGTTGCCGCCTTCAGGGCTGGGGCTGGTTGCATGACGAGACTGTTCCGTGCACACCAGGGACTACATGTCAGCCTCTCACGGCAGCGAGCTCTCCATGCCCACCCCCGCAAGCACCCCACTCGCCAGCAGCCCACACGCTCGCCCCTACAAATCCCCTCCACCCACGAGTGATCCACACCTGAGATCCCCCTTCCCCTCCCCTGACACCTCAACACCCCTCTCTGGTTACCCTGACGGCGGTGTGGTGGGTGGTGACGAGGGTCAGCCCCGCCCGCCCGGCCAGCCACGTCAGCGTCGCCGTGGCGATGGCGGCGCCCTCGCTGGGCTCGGTCCCGCTCCCCAGCTCGTCCAGGAGGACCAGGGAGGATGGGCCGGCGCCCGCGCAGGCGCCGGCCACGCGCCGCATGTGCGCGCTGAAGGTGGAAAGCCCGGCGCCCAGGCCCTGGCCGTCGCCCACGTCGGCCAGCACCGCCTCGAAGAAGGGGAGGCGGGGTCCTGGGCCGGCGGGCAGGAACAGGCCAGCGCGCGCCATGAGGCACGCCAGGCCCAGTGTCTTCAGCGCGGCGGTCTTGCCGCCCGTGTTGGGGCCGGTGATGGCCGCCACGCGGCTGGCAGGCGGGATGTGCAGCCCGATGGGCACCGGGGGTGGTGGGAGGGAGGGGGTGGGGGATGCTGGAGGAAGCCTCCTCGCAGCCGTTTGGCGCCACACTGGCGTCAGATGCAGCCGCCGCAGCGATCGCACCGGCACTCCTCGTCGCAGCGCCCTTGTCAGCACCCCTTGCGCCCTCTGCGCCGGCCTCCTCCCCGCCAGACGCATGCCCGAGGCTGACCCCCAGCAGCGCCGGGTGGCGCATGCCCTCCAGCTCCACGCCCGCCCCGAATGTCGGCCGCTGGGCCCCGAGCCAGCGGGCGTGCGCGGCGCGCGCGGAGGCGAGGTCCAGCGCGCACAGCGCGTCGCGCGCCGCCAGCAGGGCGCCGGCGTGCCGCGCCACCTGTTGTGGCATGGAGATGGGTGGTGGGGGGAATGTGAGGCTTGGGAAGGGGGCGCGGTATTGGATCGATCGGCCTGATGCCTTTGGACACACCAAAATCAGTACATCATTCACCATCATGGGGTGTAACCCAGGGCCCCCGCCATGCAAACGCCACAAGCATCACCCCTCCCACACCTGGCGAGACAGCGAGGCCAGGACCGCCGCCACCTCCTCCTCCTCCCGCCCGGCCAGGGCGGCGATGGCGTTGTTCAGCGGCACCAGCTCGGCGGGCTCCATGTAGGCGGTGGCGCCCGAGGCGCTGAGGGCCAGGGTCAGCGATCCGCGCGGCAGGTCGCCCTTGCGCGCGCGGCGCACGGGGCAGCAGGCCCGGTCTCGGCGCTGCACCACCAGCGGGCGCTCGGCGACGCCCGACGCGTGCAGCCGTCGCGCCCAGGCCGTGGCGGCATGGTCCAGCTCTGCAGCGGCCCGGCGCGCGGCCTCCCGGACGGCGCCCAGCTCTGCCGATGCGCTGTCCAGCAGGTCCGGTACGCCAGGCTGGTATGAGAGATTGTGGGGTCCCGGGGGGAGAGTCGCAGGGGGATTTGGTCAGCATGCAGACCCGCGACCGCAGCGGCACAGTCGAGGAATCTACCAAATCCCCCACCAAAGTCCCACAAAGCCGCCACACCGCCGCACCCTCACGGCCAGCGTCAGGGGATGGAGGAGCTCCGTCAGGCGGAGCGCCGGGCCGTAGGCCGCCAGGTCCGGGCGGGCATCCTTCTGAGCAGTCAGGCCGTCGCGTGCGGCCTCCGCCAGCTGCAGGGTTTGGAGCAGGGCTCCAAGGGCGTCGACGCTCAGCACCAGCCCCGCACCGGCCCCCTCCACAGCGTCGAGGTAGTCTGAGACGCCCGACAGCCTGGAGCAGGTGTGGAAGGAGGGATGGCCGCAAAATGCTTTGGCGATGCAGCATCAACAATACCACATAAAACTTCCCTCCTCTCCTGACTCTGTACTACCAGCCTCACGGTGTTGTGAGGTGCAGTGCTTGCTCTGTCTCCCGCAGCAGGCGCTCGCTGACTTCCCTAGAAGAGCCCAAGGCCAGGCCATGCGGGCCATGGGCGGCCTCCATGCCCATGGGGGTCCGACAGAAGCGTCCCACCTGGACGCACACCTCCTGCCACCCCAGCATGGCTAGGGAGTCCAGCACCAGGTCATGTTTTGTGAGGGGGCTTGATTTCAGGGCTGACAAGGCTGTGCCTTCTGATGTCACCTGGGCAGCACTCCTCACCACAGGCGTCCTGCCTGGATGGTGAGGTCGTGCTCCATGCCACCCTGCATTGGCCCATGGGGCTCTGTCAACGCGAGCAGCGGCACCTCGCGGAGGCATCGAGCTCGCAGCCATGCGGTGCATGCCCTGGTGCCTCGCTCCAGGTGTCACGGCGCCCATGCGGGTGTTGTGGGTGACGCATTGCAGCATCGCTCACGCGGCTGCCGAGCGACGAGCCCGCCCTCCTACAGTCAAGTATTGCGGTAATTCGCATTCATATGTTTGGCAACAACCCTGGGATTGGATTTCATTCGCATCTGCATGTCCACTCCAACGAGCAGCAGAGCACATCACAGCATGGTGGTTTCGACACATCGCCGACAGTCGGAACCTTGATTAAATCAGAAGGCCTGCCTTCCTTGGCCAGATACGGTCTCCACAATAGCTCATGAAAAGCAATTGAAGCGCATCGGTCCTGCCCGCCATGGCCTACCTCCTCGCAGGAGCGGCTGGGCTGTTCTACTTGCTGTACAAGGGAAAGCGCGAGGCCGGCGATAGGTCACTGCAGCGAAAGATATTGAAAGAGGTAAGATGCAAGTGAATTTATTAATGTTCAGGAGTCTTCTCATGCTGCGATCTTGGGTTGCACGGATGAGACTGGCAAGCTTTGATCTTAGTTCCCCCTCCCCTTCCTTGCATGCACAGTACCAAGACCTCTTTGATGTTTCGACGCAAAGGCTGCGGGACGTGCAGCGCGACCTCATCCTGCAAGTAGAAGCGGGACTCAGGGGCGACAAATCGGGGCTCCTCATGCTCCCAACCTTTGTGGACATCCTGCCTACAGGGTAAGCTTGGAGGATTGGTCGGGCGAGTGTGCAAGGTCTAGTTGCCCTTGTGGGTGGCTGCGTGCATGTCGCGGACATCATCTTGATGGTTTCTGACAACCTGATCAAAGTTTTCCATCTACAGGGATGAGCAGGGAGACTACTATGCCATTGACCTGGGAGGAACGAACCTGCGAGTCCTGCACACCCGGCTCGGGCCAGGGAAGGGCGAGGCGAGTCAGCGGTGGGGGGCGCAAGCAGGACTACTGTGGCTGGAAGGAGTTGATATAAGTTTGTGTTCTTTTTCGTGACAGGAGCTGCAGCAGGAGCAGATGGTGCCAGGAGAGGCAGCTGCTGACTTGTATCACCACACCTTCCTCTGCCAGGGAGAGGAGCAGGACATTCGGGAATGGCCCATTCCCAAGGAGTGCTTCAATACCGACTCTGGAAAGCTGCTGGAGTTTGTGGCTGACTGCGTCGAGGAGATGCTGGTCGAGCACCCGCCAGCGTGCGTTTCTTGGGGATGCTGAGGGCTGTGCGCTGGGGCTGACAGGCTCTTCATCAAGGGGTGTGCTGCTGGCTGGAATTCGATTCTTGGTCAGCAGGCTGTAGATGCTTGCACACTCGCTTGAAATATCTCTCCACACCTCCGGTGCCTTGCTCTCCAAAGTGTGGCCCCGGCTGCATGATCTTCCAACAAGGTTCAAGCTGGCCATGCATCACTCCTCCAGCTCGCCACCAATCCTCCACGCTCGCCCCCCCCTTGTCCTTCCAGGTCTGGGGCCCTGCCCGTTCTTGGCTTCTGCTTCAGCTTTGGTTTCAACCAGACCGCGCTCAACAATGGTGTCCTTGTGCGGTGGACAAAGGTGAGGAGAGGTTGGCGATGTTGACCGCATGTGATGAAAGGGTGGAAGCCGAGAGTTCCCATTGGCAGCGCTGCCGTCTGTGCTTGTAGCTCATTTTTGCATGCCAGATTGTGAGCCACAAGATCTCTTTGGTGAGGACCCACTTTCTCGAGCGGCAAACATTCCCCTCCCTTTTACCTCAACAAGCTCCTCCTGCATACATTCAATCCCTACACACTTGGCCCACCCCCCACCGGCAGGGCTTCTATGGCAAGGGCCTGATTGGCGAGGACATCGTGGGTGCGCTGCAGTGTGTCTTCCGGGCGCGGGGCAGGGCGGTGGAGATCCCGGCCATCCTAAACGACACCGTGGCGACGCTGATCGCCCTACGCTACGCGGAACCCGCCACGCAGCTGGGCATCATCCTGGGCACGGGGACCAACGCCGCCTATCAGGAGCGCATCGACAGGTCAGGGGTTGTCGAGCAGTGGGGGGAAAGAGGGTTCCATCAGGGGACTTAAGACCCACCTCTCTCGCTGAAGCCTAGCACCCACGGTGGCTGGACCCATGAGCAACAGCCCTCCCGACACACCCTCGCGCTGCTCAAATCCACAGGATCAAGACGCTTGACCCGGGCTTCAAGGGGCGCAGCGAGCACATGGTGGTGAACACGGAGTGGGGCGACTTCTTTGCGGCCTCCCTCCCCGTCTGCGAGGAGGACGACTGGGTGGATGCCGCCAGCGTCAACCCCGGCCGAGGGCGGCTCGAAAAGGTGGGTGATCACAGGGTTGGTGTGATGCTGGGCCAGACCGCTTGATCGCCCTGGGACTGTTGGGTGACGAGGGATGGAGCGCCCATTCCTGGACTTAATGGACGGTTGATGGCCCTCCACCACCCCTGGTTGCCTGCCCAGACTGCTCATGACCCCCTCTGACTCCTCTTCCCCATACAACCCCCCCAGCTGGTGTCGGGGCTGTACATGGGCGAGATCGTGCGCCGCGCCCTGGCCCGCCTGGGCCAGCATGCCGGCCTGTTCGGCCGCGCCGCCGCCCTACCCGCCGCCCTGCTCACGCCCGGGTCGCTGGGCAGCGCGGCGGTGGCCGCCATGGACGAGGACGAGAGCGCCGACCTGGCGGCCGCCGGCGCCGCGCTGGCCACGCTGGGCGTTGCCCGGCCCACGAGGCGCCAGCGCCGCGTTGCGCGCGCGCTGGCGCGACTGGCCGCGCTGCGCTCCGCGCGCCTGAGCGCCGCCGCACTGTGCGCGCTCCTGCGCCACCTGGGCTGGGATGAGCGCAGCCGCGTGGTGGCCGCCATGGACGGCTCCGTCTTCTGCCGGTACGCGGGGTACCGCGCCATGATGCGGGACACCCTCGAGCGCCTGCTGGGCCGCGAGGCCGCGGCGGCGCTGGAGCTGCGGGAGGCGCGGGATGGGTCAGTACGTGGCGCCGCCTACCTTGCGGCCGCCGCCTCCCGATACGACCACGCCCCCAGGGCCTAGGCTTTTGGAGGGGGGAAGCTACGAGAGGGGTGCCGGGGGAGCTGATCGCCCTGCCTCATGGCATGCAGATCGGCTGACCAATATTCCAATATGCCCCGCGTCAGGCTGCGTCCTAGGCCTCGCAAGCGGAATCTCCCCTGCAGGGCCAGCACATGTCAGCGCCACCTCTTGGAATCGAGGAATGGAAGGAGTATACATCAGGAACACGGGTTATTCACATACAGGACGAGCCTTTCTCACGCGCCGGCGCGTTGTAGGTCAGCGTGGCCTGGCGCAGGGGGCCACTGGGCGGATCGTTGGCCTTGGCCTCCGCTGCCCTTCGCTCCAGCATAGCCGTCTTCCAGGCATCATACTCCTGAGCCCCGCGACACGTTTGGCAGGGGCTGGGGGATGCGTGCGCAGTGTGCCAATCTCAAGAACATCGACCATTGCATTCCAGCAGCCTGGTGCCCCCCCGCTGGTCCACAGCACCCTGTCCAGCCCTGCCTTCACTCCACACCCGCTTCTGCTGCTTGCCGGCATGCACCCGTCGCCCCACGGCGCCATCCTCCAGCACCTCTTCGTCACTGCTGCCGAGCTCCTCCAGTCTCGCTGAAGCCGCAACAGCCAGGCACCTGCATGTGGAGAATGCGAGGCATAGCTCCTGGGGCTTGGGGATGAGCGCTGGGGTTGACACATGGACCTCGCACATGGTGGCCAGCTCTGAGAGTGCGAGTCCTGAGCATCCCCTTGCCGCCAGCTCACCCATCCGCAGCCTCGTCTTCTGCGCCCTCAGGTTTTCGCCTACGCTTGGCACTGCTGCCGGTGCTGAGCTCGGGCATCAGGGAAGCAACAGCAGTGGCAGCAGCAGCGAATTCTGTCGGTAGGACACCCAAAGGCTCCAGCAGTCTCCGCTTGTCCACCTGCGACCGATACGCAATCGAGAATGGACGAAATGAAAGGTATTGGAATTCGCAGGTAGACTCTTGTTTGAGACCACGTGGATGTGGCGCCGCCGCCGAGCGGAATCACAGGGTGACGCTGAGACGAGCGGCAAAACCTCCCTCCCGCCACACCTCTTGTGTGTCTCACACTTTACCAAACAGGTTGCACTTGTTTGCGTCCGCACGTGCCACCCTACTCCTTCCGCACACCTTGACTTTGTTCTTCTGCGCCACAGCGAGGAAGATTGCCGCCACAAACACGGGTTTGTTGAGTGCCACCGTCCCCCTTTGAGCAATGGCAACCTGGGCGACATATCTCTGCTTGAAGGTTGCCAGCGCTGCAGCCACCGGCCGCTCCAGCCGGACGCAGCCAAACTGCAGACATAGGTCCCGAGGATGTGTCTGCGTCTTGACCCCGAGCAACTTCTGCAGCATGGCACGTGCATTCCGGTATACCTGGGGTATGCGGGGTGATTGGTCAAACTTGAGGTGCAAACATCTTGATAAGTGCCCTGCTGTTCTGCGCTAGCCCAGCCATCAAAGTACACAGACACCAGTGCAGAGAAAAATGTGTACAGTATTGCAGGGATGCCACCAACTCACGGTTGCGGAGGCTCCACTGTGTTTCTGGAGTGCTCCGCTGTCTATCGAGTGCTGCAGCCTGTGGGATGGGAGACGACATCTCAAACAGATGTCAACACATGTGAACAGGCTCTGAAATGTCCTACCCATTGAGCTGCTGGAACCCTTTCGACAACTCACATCATACAGGATAGCTCCAGGCATGCTGCTGCCTTGCAGGCTTCCCCCTGCACAGAAGGCGTTGATGGAGTTGACTCTTGGTGACGCTTCACGTACTCTTGCCGCTCAAAACCCAGTGCCGTCAGCTCACCGTGCCCATGCTCGCCCCAGCCAGTTTTGTATTGGCAAGTCGCATGTATTCCGAGGCTTTGTTCTGCACCGCTCTGTCGCTGATGCCGATTCTGCGAGCCAGCATGGAGATATCCATCTCAACAGATGTGTTGAGCCACGGACGCTGAACACCGTATACGCCAGCGAAGCCAAGGAGCTGCTTTTCAATTTATTTCATCACATGTAGAACGCGTCATATGTGCGTCTTCAGCGCGCAGGCTGCTGGTGCCCGGGGAGGACGAGTTCGTAATTTCATACCCTACGCGTGCGTTGCGTGCCATGCGTCTCCGGGTGTCACGCAGGGTGGTAAGCTTTCGGACTCGACACCTGCACACCACTTACTTCAGACTCTGTGGTGACTAACGTATCATTGCCTTCATCGGAACGCTCTCGCATTCTAGCCCTAATAGGACACTGAAGTCTCGGTAGTCGAACCAGCTTCAGCCGGAATGGGGGAGGTGAACGCTGAACGACGAGAGGATACCGGGCTGACTGCGTCCAACAGCGGGTACGAAGTCGTATGATGTGATGGCGTGAGCTTACTGGCCTCTACCTTGCTGCATCTCCGTACTTCATGTTCCATACAGAACTCATTATCACTCCAACAGCGCCTCTCTTACATGTCAGGATCTCCATCGAGGACCAGTCGATGCTTGCTCGGGTGGCCTTGAGCTCTGGTGTGCCTGTCAAGTGGTCTGATCTGCAGCCGGTGGTTCACGCTGCGATTGATGCCGTGCTATCACGGTTTGCGGAGAGGGGAGGGACACAGGTTGGGCCCCCACCCCCCATGCTGGATGGCAGCGACGTTGAGACCTTCAGGAAGCGGCTGCATGCTCTGCTCGAGGTGATGGATGGCCCTCCATTCACGATGCAACGGCTGGCAGAGCTCTTGCTAGGCCCAGAGAAGCAATATTCCTCACTCCCAAAGCTTGTGAGTTGGGAGCACATGATATTGATCGTGGAGGAAGAGCCTCAGGAGGCCATATGGACCTGATTCCCTGAGCCAGAGATTTTTCCACAGCCAGAATTCATACCCCTGCCCTCTCCCCTCCAGGCGTCTGCCTTGGAAAAGCTCCTCATGGTCGTCACTTCTGCTCCCGTGCTGGAGGCTGCAGACGCCGACGTGCAGCCGCTTCCTCCAGTCCACCCAGCCATCATTGCCCGTATTAATGACAACCCTCCCAGCCACTATGTTGTGCAGATCTCTGATGGATCCCTGGACGTGAGCATGGACACAGAAGAAGATGTGCATGTGCCAGAAGCTGTGAACGCTGAGGCTGTAAAAGAGTAGTTGTTTTATTCGTACACTGGCTGAGAGTACACTCAAAACACTGGATATGTACATGTCATGAGTTCATTTCAATTTATCCCTGGGATACCTCCCTGTTGACGGATACACGAATTCCTCGCTGTACGGCCGAAACCCAGGGAACACAAAATCGATCGTCACAGTCGGAGCATACATCTCGAATGAAACCTGTCAACACAAGAGCTCTTAAACACTTGAAGTGATTCTGACAACACCTAGAGAGAGGTGACCTACGACCAGGGCATGAGGATGTGATCTGAAGGTCGCTGCCAGTGGGTGTCGCATGCCCCACCGGCCGAGCCCCCACGCGCTCTGCAACAAGGACCGCAGACCATTGCCATGTTGTCAAGGAAGAACTCTAGCATTCTCACGGAAGAGCAGAGCTTCCCTGGTGGGGCTCTGCAGGGGTACTTTCCTCACTCCAAGGTGGGCAGGTTATGAGAGCCCTGGAGTTGCTGCTCCTGATCCCTCTGAAGGCCTTTAACAAGCTGTTCCCTCCTTCTTCTGGACCCTGCTTATCTACAGGACTGTCTAGAGGAGGCGCTGACCCCTGACACCTTGCTTCATGGCTACAGCGTGTCCTACCAGCAGCCCTGGGCATCGATCGCTCCGCAGAGTTGTGCCTGTCTGTCCTGGACGAAGCCCCCGAGGGGCGCTGCCTGCATGGCAGGGACCTGGCCGCCATGCAAGAGGTGGGAGAGTGGGTTTTAGGGCTGGACCATGCCTGTGGGGTGGGTTGAGGGTGCATGATGGACATGATTGGTGTGCCCTGCTTCTGCCATGGCTGTGCTGGGAATCCATAGTGCCCCTCACGCTGGGGCCTCCATCAGCCGACCCGCCGCCATGCACACAGGACATGATGCGCATGCTGCGTGCCGCCAGGGAGCAGGATACCCGCCGGCGGCGGCGTGCCGAGGCGTCGTTCGACGCCCCGCTCTGCCAGGCCCCCCCGCGCCCCGCCCCCCTGCCCTCCCAGGTGGCCATGGGCGACGCGGCGCGCCGGGCCTGGCTGGCGGCGCTGGCGGGAAGCTGCCCGCTGGGCAGCCTGGCCGCGCAGGGCGTGCCCCACGGCCTGGGCAAGGGCCAGCTCTGGGAGGCGCTAGCGGAGGCCGGGGTCCCCCTGCCGCGCGCCCTCTGGCTCGTGCGGGTCGTGTACCTGCAGCGCAGCAGGTGTGACCGGGTAGGGGGTAAAATGGGGGTCGTGGCAGGCGGGTTGGCAGGCAAATGGCCACGCGCGGTAGTGGGAGGAAGGTCTGCTTGGTCTGCCTGCTCTTGTTGGTGAAGGTATCGGGCTGGGGAGGCATGGCTACCGGCCCTGCGCCGACCTCGGCCGTGCCACGACTCGACTCTCCCCCACTGACTTCTCCTCTCTCCTCGCATCAAGACCCCCCCCCGCCCCACGATTTCTACCCGCAGGCCGCTGTCGGCCGGCAAGCAGGCGCAGCCCAGCGAGGGCGCAGCGGCGCTAGAGCGCGGCGCGCGCTGCGCCGACGACCTGGCCTCGCACCTGGACTCGCTGCGCGGCGGGGGCGGGCCGGCCTGGGCGTACTGCCTGCGCCTCGCCGGCTGCCTGGCAGCGGAGGGCCTGGCCGACGCGCCGGCGCTGGCGGCCTGGGCGGCGCGCTGCGCGCGCGGCGCCGGCGCCCCGCTTGCCGTGCGGGCGGCGGCGCCGGCGCTGCTGCCCTGCGTGCGCCGCGCCCTGCGCGCCTGGCCTGCGCAGCACGCGGCGCTGCGCGCCATGCTGGGTACGCTGTGCGCCGCGGCCGCCGAGCTGGAGGCGCGGGAAGGGGAGGGCGGGCCCATGCTGGCCGGCATGTTCTGGCGCGAGGCGGGCCTCCTGCTGGCCGCCCACCGCCCCGCCTTCCTGCCCTGGGACGGGGGCCCGCCGGGGGCGCGGGAGTCCATGGCTACGGCGGGGGGCCCGCGCGTGGCCTCCGCTCTGCGCGCACTGGAGGAGGAGCGGCGCGGCCTCACCGCGGGCGTGCAAGTCAGGTGCCGAGGTGGTGGCGGGGTCTGGTGCAAGGCGCCGCTGCTCGATAATAAGAGCACCGACCGCCGGCACCCATTCAATGGCGAGATTGCCTCTGGGGTTGCATTCAGTGCGCCACATACAAAGCATGATCCACCCCCCAACACTTCCTCCCTTCCACCTCCAACACGCTCTGCAGCGTGCTGCGCTGGACGGAAGATGGCGCGCATCGCATCATGGACGCCGCTCTGGACTGCGGGGTGACAGGGCCCGCGGTGCGGGCGCTGGTGGACCTGCTGGGCCCTGTAGCGGAGGAGGGGGAGGGGCGTGGCGTGCCTGGCAGGCCTCGTCTGCGACTGGGCCACGGCCGACCCCGTGGCGGAGGCCTGGGCGGCGCTGGGAGACGGGCTCGGAGTGAGTAAGACCGAAGATGGGCAGGAACATGCAGACGACCCCGCCTGCATCAGGCGCGCAACGCACAACATGCGCGCGAGGCGCATGCTGTGCGCGGCAGGCATGCTGCGCGAGGCAGCGGCGGCCCTCCCGGCGGCCCGCCTCACGGTAGCCGTCTCGGCCTGGGTGGCAGGCGCCTGCCGCGCGGGACCCCCCGCCCCGGCCCTGGTGGACTGGGCGGCGCTGCTGGTCAGCCACGGCAGCTTCTGTCCGGCCTCTCACCTGGACGCCCTGCTGGCCACGGGCCGCCTGGAGGAGGGGGGCGGGCACCGCGCGTTCCTGGCGGAGCTCCCGCCTGCCCTCCTGCGTGCAGAGGACAGAGACGGAACCCTAGCGTCGCGCTATCGCGCGCTGTGGACGCACCTGGCCGGCGCTGGGAGCGGGGAGGGGAAGGAGCCCTTACATGCCAGCTCTGGCGAGCTGGACGCGTTCATGGGAACCGCAGAGGAGCAGGATCAGCTGGACGCTGAGGAAGCCGAGCTTGACGCCCTGCAGGCTGGTCTGCTCCCCTGGCTGGCCGTGCCAGCTTGGGGTGGGGAAGGCAAGAGTGCACACGTTTGTGACTGGGCAGCTGCTCTTGCGCGCCTGGCGTCCGCCAGGTAAGTCAAAGTTGGAGGCGGGGATGGCAGTGGGTATGCGGGGATTACTGGCCTCGACTGCGGTCGAGTCTTGTTTGCTCGCTCAAAGTGAGCGCTGATGTTGTCATTCCTGTTCCAAGGTGCGTCAGCTTTGCAGCCGGCCGTCGGAAACCTCCTCCTTCCCCCCCCTCCCCCCCCGCACCCAGACCCTGGCAGAAGCGGCGCGTCGCCGAGTGGCTAGGCCGCACCATCGCAACAGGCCCCCTGCCAATGGGCACGGAGGCTGACCACGCCGGCGAGCGTTGGCTGCTGGGCCTGCTGGGCGCGCTGCGCGCCGCCGACGGCGCGCGCGAGGCCGCGCAGCTGCTGCCGCGCCTCGCAGCGCCGCCGCTCCAGGCGCTGGCCCTGGCCCTGGCCGCCGCCGGCTCGCAAGCGCGGCGGCTGGGGGGGGCGGAGCTGCGCGGCCTGCACGACGCCGCGCGCGCCCCTCTCCTCTGCCTCCTCCTGGCGCTGCTGGGGGCGCTGCGGCCCGAGCTACAGGCCGAGGGTCTTGGCCCGCGCATGCTGCGTATGCTGACCGCCGGGCTGTGGCGCGTGCCCGGGTCCTCGCCAGACCGCCCCCGCCTGCAGGCCGAGGTCTGCGCCGGGCTCTTGACCCTGGCGCGCGAGCTGGTGGCCGGCGGCGGCGAGGACGCCGGGGTCCAGGCCTGGCTGGCGGAGGCCCGTTCCCGGCAGGGCTTGGGGCACTGGGTCCTCGGCTGCCTGACGGATGCGGCGGCGGCGCAGGAGGGCGGCGGCGGTGCGGGGGGGTCACCCTCGCTGGAAGCGATCCTGGGCGGCGAGCTGCGGGCGCGGTGCGAGGCGGACGTGCCGCACGGTGTCCGTGCGGCAGAGGAGATATTGATTGCAGGGTCGGGCCTGACGGCGCTGCGCCCCGGCATGTCGGCCGATGCGGTGGCGGCGCTGAGCCCTGTGGCCGCGGCAGCGTGCCTGGGCGCCCCGGGCCTTGCCTCCGCTCTGGAGCGTGCCGTGGATGGGGGCGCAGGTGTCGACCGGGCCGAGCTCCTGCTGGCCTTGCTGGGGGCCATCGGAGCGGATGCGAGAGGCGCGCTGCCCGAAGCCGAACCTGCCACCCTGCAGGCCAGGCTGCTGGAGCACCTGGCGCCAGCCAACAGCCCGCTGGTGACGCTCCTCCTTGACACGCTGGGCCTGCTGGGCGGTGGGGGTCGTGCGACCACGCTGGCCAGCTCCGCCCCGCCGCTCTTGCCCAGGTATGGATGGAGGGGTGTGTCTCTGTGGAGGGGTGGGGGGGGAAAGGGCCTCGAGTGGGGGCACAGCAGCGAGGCCCCTGCCGCGCTCATGCCCCCTCACATCGCCCACCATCCCACACTCCCTCACCCTTCCCTGCCAGCCTGCTGCGGGCGCTGCGCTCGCGTCCCCCGCCCTCGGCCGTCGGCCTGGCCCTGCTCTGCCTGCAGCGCGGCGAGGGGCAGGGCGCGGGGCTGCTGGACGCGCTGCAGGCCGACCTCGTGGACGCCCGGGGTCAAACGGGGCGCGGCCAGGTGCTGGCCGCCCTGCTCTGCCTGTCCCGCACCGGCGCGCCGCGCCAGCGCGCCTTCGCCGAGGCGCTGCTGTCCGGGCTGGAAAGGGCGGCGGGCGAGGGCCGGGGCGCGGACGTGCTGACGGGCCGCGTCGGGCCCATGCTGGAAGCGCTGCTGCCCCTGCTGCCGCTGGTTTACCAGGACCGCGCGCCAGAGGCCGCGAGGAACCTGCGCGCCCGCGCTCTGCGCGCCTGCTGCACCCTGGCCCCCGCGCTAGCCGCCGTCCCGGGGTCAAATGCGCGGGGGCTGGGCCGGCGCACGATGGCGGTCGCGCAGGCGCTGCTCATGGGCGGCTGGGCGCCCTGGCTGCGAGGCGACGGTGAGGCCCTGATGTCGGGAGGAGGTCTGGTAGTTCCCTGGTAGTGTGCCCATGCAGACTGATACAGGCGTCTCCAAGTTCCATCCTCTGATCTGGGACCAGTGTGCCGCATTTGCACCGAAGACCTCGATCCCGCCAATCACCTCACCCACCTGTCCAAATTGCCCCCGGCAGCCGAGAGGAAGCTGCGGGACGTCCAGCCATACGAAGGCAGCCGGGCCCTGGCGGCAGACCTGCAGGCCAGGAACATGCCCAAGCGCCTGAGGGCCTGCCTCCTGGCCATGCTGCCCATGCCCCCGCCCAGCGCAGGCCTCATGGAGCTGCCGGGTTCAGAAAACGGGGCCCCTCTGCTTGTCGACCCCTGGACGCTGATCGATTCCGGGTGGAAAGCAGGGCCACGGACAGCAGCGCTGGAACCCTGGAGCGCGGCGGAGGCGCCGCCGCCAGCCCCGAACCCGCCTGCCTGGCTGGAAGGGTGCATCCGCAGGGAGCGCGGCGTAAGAGAGTTGCAATGAGAGCCCCCACCCAGGCCATGTACCCAGCCATTGCCAGAGAGGAAAGGTTCTGTGCGCCACGCACGCACAGAAAGAATCTTTGAGTTCCCTGCAGCGGTGTCTAAACCCTCCCGTGCCCCCCTGAAATACAAACACTCTCTTACCCAACCCACTTCCTCATTTGACTGCATTCGATTTTCAGCGACCAGTAGTAGCCTCCTGCACCCTGCCAGACCTGAACCCCTATATATGTTTGAAGAAAACATGATTACATGTCAAGGGGCGCACCGACAGCTCAGAGACAAGGGCGCGGGCATGGGTACAGGCCTGCGCATCGCCTTCAGCGGAAGTATGGGGAGACGTGGATGTTTAGGGCCGCCGCACGGCGCCGAAACTCCCTGTCTTCTGACGCCGTGGGCAGGCGGCGGGGCCGAGGGGGCAGGCCAACATGCCGGCCCCGGGGCGGGGCCAGCAGGGGGCTGAACTCAAAGGCGGAAGTGCATGCCGAGGCGGGGGTGGGCGGCTGGAGGGTCCCCGCCGCCTGTGCGGGTGTGACGGGTGATGCCTGCGTGCGTCGGACGCCGACCGCCTGCACCCCCTCCTCATCGCTGCTGCTGGAGGAGTGGTCGGGTGGGAGGGCCTGCACTCGGGGCCTGAGAGCTGCCTTCGCACCTGGGCTCGCCTCGGGGCCCGCGCCTCTGCCCATGCCGGCGCGGATGCCTTGGCTCGAGGCCTCGCCCGCGTGAAAGTCCTCGCCCGCACCGGCGCCGGCATCCAGCGCCGTGCCGGGCGTGGCCGGCCTCCAGCTCGCGCTGCTGCGCGCGCTGTGCTCTGGTGTGGAGCCCGGCTGGAAACTGACCCCGCGCCACGCACCCCGCGCCCCGCTGGGGTTTGTGCTGGGGGGAGGAGGGGCGTGCTGTGTCGGGTCGCTGGGTGCGGCAACTGGATCGGAGGCTGCCGTGGACGCGGCCGGGGACGGCGGGTGCTGTCGCTGGACCTCTCGCACAGGCTGGCTGACATTTGTATCGCTCGCGTCCGGCGCGAAAGAGGGCGCCGGCAGTGGGGAGGGGACCGGGCGGGGCGGACGCTGGACGGACGCTTGGCTGCCGGCGGTGGAAGGCGTGAAGTCCATGGCAGACAGGCCCTGCAGGCGCATCGAGAGTGTGTGGTGAGGGGTGAACAAGGGATCCTGCAGCATCAAGGTGCTGTCCCGGCCGCACACAGGTGCCGTAGTGTTGCATGCGAGAAGTGACCCCATGAGGTCACACATCCCTCGCCAGACACCCCATTCCACACACCTGGTCCACGGTGGCCAGCTTCGACTGAGCTGCCTTGAGGTCGGCCTTGAGCCGGGCGAGACGGCCCCGCACCGCATCCTGCACATCTGCGGCGGCTGCGGGGCGAGAGAGAGTGGAGCTGATTGGGTTTGGGTGTGGGTGTCATGCTGTAGGTTGCAGCCAGCGGCTTGCCTAGCTAGTGTGCGCATGCCCTTGTGATCCGCAGGCCAGGCCAGTTCATCACAGCCAACCCATGACAGGGCAGGGACCCTCGTCCATCCCAGGGCCGAGCATGCGCTGCCAATAAGCCCCATGAACACTCACGCTTTGCCGCGAGCGAGCTGACGCTGAACGCCGACGCAGGCGTGGCGATGCGCCCGCGCGGCGCCGTGCCCGGGGTGTACAAAGACACAGGGGCGGGAGTGGCCACGACGTCTGGTGAGCCAGAAGCATAGGCGCCATCGATGATTCCACAGACAAGCTGGAGCGCGGGGGGTCCAAGCTGCGTAGGATCCATGTCAACAGGCCCTGCCGCCAGCCCCTCTACTGCCTCCTCGTCGCTGGAGGTGACAGAGGCCATGCTCCCCGCCCCAGAGCCGCCCATGGTGGTCGACTGGCTATGAATGACCGCCGCGCCGTCGCCAACGAAAGGACCACTGTCAGCCATCGCACCGTCGGATGGCACGGAGCGACGCGGGAGCTGGTCGGCGGACCAGCTGCCCGCTTCGGACCCCGCACCGCCTGGCGCCTCGACCGCGACTGGCCTCACAGGCGACACGTCCAGGCTGGCTGGTGGCGGCGTGGCCGCGCCGTGCGCCCAGGCTAAGGATGCCGAGGAGGCAATGGACGCTGGGGACGCGTCCAGCACCCCCGAGGGGGTCAACAGCGCCGCCGTCGGGCCCGGGAGTTCGGTGGCGTGGGTCTGGACCGTGGGAAGCGGCGTCGAGGTCGTCACCGCTCCAAGGGTGATGGATTCGGCGGGTTGGTCACCTGGCCGGAGGGCAGCGCTCCCCTGCTCGTCAGCAACAGGCCCCATGCCGCCCGGCCTGGCGAGGAAGTTGAGGGGCGTGGGGCGGTGGGGTGAGGCGCCGGGACTGTGCGCATCCGCCGCAGAAAAGCCCGGCGGTGTGGCCAGCTCCTGTGGCCCGTCCCAGCCGAGCGTGCCGCCGGTCGCAGCTCCCGCTTGCTCCACCCCATCAAAGTCGTGCTGGGGAGTGGCGCCAATGGCAGCCTCCGAAAGGACGCCGTCCAGCCCCTTCAGGTCTGCATCCGGCCGTGCCTCCCATGCTCCTCCCTCCAAGGGCTGCACGCCCTCTGCGTCTGCCTGAGATGCGGCAAAAGGCGGCACATTCTCGGAAGACGGGGTGTCGGGCCTGCCATGGGCCTCCCCTGCCAGGGCGTGCCTGACACCTGCTGCGCCTTCTTCCTCCCGCCCTGCTAGGGCCTCGTAGTAGCGGACCATCTCCCGGACCTGAGAGGGTGTGGACTGAGTGTTGAGTGCTGGGAGGACACATTGTGACCCAGGGTTTTGTAAATCTCCCCAAACATGCTGTCAATCCTCGGGACACAACACTGCAGTCCACCAGCAGCAGCAGGGCAGGGTTTTCTCAGTCCGAAACCCACCCCTGAGACTCGTGAGGCCGGGACGTTTGTGACGACAAAGGCCCCGTGGAAGACCGTGCACTGGTCCTCGTCGACGGAGGCGGCGGCCTCGGTCTGCGAGTCCGCATCCAGAGTGCTGGCAGCAGTAGGTGCCGCTGCCACGGCTCCCTCCTTTTCCGCCGACTGGGCCAAAGCTGCACCTGGGCTCAACTCGCCAGAGGGTCCAAGGGAGGACTGCGGGCTGCCAGGGCTCGGGCTGCGCCGACAGACGGCGTCGACATCCTCTGCCACCGCCAGCAACTCTGGGTTGTCGCTTGTCGCGCCCTCTACAGTGCCCTGGATTGAGAAGGGCGTGCGCCCCTCCTCCATGGCCTGCAGCCTGGAGGTCACCTGCAGGGGCGTGGTACCATGAGGTTTCAGAGCTCAAGGGGCCGGGCCGCAGCACATGCAAGGCGAGTGTCCTCCTCCCCCTTTCCCCCCCATCGCCCCCACTCCTCAGCTCATCGCACCTCGGGCGACGCGCCGGCCAAGTGGCCACACAGCGTGCTGTAGTCCACGGTGATGGTCGTGGCGGTGGAGGGCGTGCCGGCAAACGGTGTGTAGAACACCTCCTTCAGTGCTGTCCCCGGCTCCCGAGCCGCAATATGAGTATGAGGCGTGACCTGCTGGTCCGGGCCCTCGCCCTCCTCTCTGTCCCCAAGGGACAGCTGACGCGCCAGTGCGGCACTCTGTGCTCCGTCAATGTACTGCGTGGGTCCGAAACGGGTGCCCCTTGCGCGAACGACGCTCCCGCCTCCCCCCGCCGGGGTCTGGTGCGCCCTGCCCTCCGCCAGGCTGGCGCGGGCCTCCTGCAGCGTGCGGGCCAGCCTTGCCTGCCGGGCCACGGCCGGGCTTGCAGGCACTCCCCGCAGCATGGCGCGGACCCCCGCCAGCTCGGCGGCCGAGCTTTCCAGCAGCTGCGGGAGGGTTGCGGGTGGGGAGTCAGGGTGCATGGACGTGTGTCGAGCACGGATGGGTACGAAGATTGCCAAAGTAGGCAGGCTGCTGCCCCGCGCGACACGCTTTCCTGTTCATACCCCCCGCCCCTCATCCCAGCTCGCCTGCTTGATCCTGGGGGTTGCGGGGATGGCCCCCGCAGCGTGCCCAGCGTGCAGCCCCTCCAGCCTGGCGTGCAGCTCGTGCAGGGTGGCATGCAGGTCCTCTGGCGCCTCGGCGCCGGGGGCCCCTGGCCCCTGACCCTGGTGCCGGGAGGCAACGGTGGCCGTCGCCGCGACCTTGGCCGCCGCCACGGCCGCCGCCTCGGCGCCCGCCAGCGCGGCCCTGTGGTTGGGAGATTGGAGGGGAACCGGGACGACCTTGGACGAGACAGAGTGATGCTGGCACGGCACTGCACCACCTCCAACCGCGCAGTTTCAAGCACGTCCCTTGCAGCTGCGCCCTGGTCGCCCAAGCCCATTGAGGGGCCCCGTCCCCCGCCCCTCTCAAGCTCGCACCTGGTGGTGTCCAGCTCAGCGTGCAGCGCCGCCAGCCGGGCCTGATCATGCTCCGCACGCTGCGCCTGGAGCTGGGCCAGGAGCTGGGCCCGCTCCGCCTCGCAGCTCACGAACAGCTCCTGGATGCGGGCCGCCAGGACCACCATGTGCTGCGCGGCTGCCTGCGCGGCCGCCAGCTCCTCCTCCGCAGCACTGCGCGCGGTTGCAGGGGACTAGGAGTGATGGGCTTTCGGACGGTTGTAGATGTGGGATCGCCACCGACATGCGAGGGAGTGCACGGCAGTGTCATGCACGGATTGTATGCCTGGATGTATTCGGTGGATGCCAGGAGCAGGTCGGCGCGCCTCAACTCATGTCAAGTCAACCAGTGCCAGGGGTGTCCACCTCCCTCCTACACCCCGGCCTTCATCCCTGGGCTCCATCTCCCTGTTGAAGACCCCCTCTTCACCCCCAAACAGACTCAAAAGTACCACCCCCCCAGGGAAATCCTCCTCACATGCGCTCCGCGCGCTCCGCCTCGCTCTCCAGGCCCAGCGCGCCCAGCGCGGCGCGCACGCCCTCCAACTCGGCGCTCAGCTGCGCGTTGCGCGCCTCCACCTCCTGCACCTGCCCCGCGGCGGCCCACAGCCGCCGCAGCTCCCCGCGCGCAGGCGTGCCCAGCGCGTCTCCCAGCCCACGCCGCGCCAACCACCGGCTCACGCTACCTTGACCCAGGACGGGGGTGGTGGGGACGAGGTGTGCCCCCTCCTGCGCCGGGGTGGCCTGGACGGCCTCTGCCGCCGCCTGGGCCCCGCGTGCCGTGGAATCCCCGTGCCCCGCCGCCGCCGCCCTCGCCTCGCCGCCCACGGAGATGAGGGGCATGGGGGTGAGGTGGGGCGGGGAGCGGGGGCTGCCCAGCGCGCCGGCCTCCGCTGGCCCCTGCCCGGGGACGCTGCCCGCGGCGCCCTCGCCGTACGCCGGGGACTCGTAGGCCGGGCCGCGCAGGTGCGCCAACATGGCGCGGAAGGGGTTTGTCCCCGGGGTGGGGCCCACGCAGGACAGCGCGGGCCCGGTCACGCTGCCGGACGGCGCGAGGAGGGACCCGGCGCTGCCGGCGGGCACGGCTTGCGTGGCCTGGGCAAAGCGGGGGGCGGGGGTGGGCAAGACGGCCGCGCCGTCGCCGGCGGCGACCATCGCCCCGCCAAAGGAGAAGGTCGGCGGGGAGACGGCGCCGTGGCCTGAGGGGCGCGAGGGGGGTGGGCGGATTCAGAGGAGGGTGCAGGCACGGGGAGGCAGTCCCCACCGTACTCCAGCTGCTCACAACCAACCCATGCATCAGAGGGAGATTTGCTGGCCCATCGATCGGTGGATCGATGCGCAGCAGCGCCACCCGCCAGCACCCCAAGCATGACGTGCCTGTATGGGCCGAGGCACCATGTTCCTTGTCGGTCTGCGCAATGCCCTCTGATGCCAGGGACCGGAAGGTGAGTGGCAGCTGGGTCTCGGCGCCTGGCCCATTCCCCATCGCCTCGACAACCCCCTCAGGCAGCGCTAGCTGCGTCAGTCCTGGCAGCCGCTGCTTGAGGAGCAGCGAGGTGCTCCCAACGGAGGAATGCTCTGCGTTCGCGACCTCTTTGGCTTCCTCGTCCAGGGGTGACTCTCCCATCGCACCCGTTGGAGCCCTGAACTGGTCGGATTCCCCGCTGGAGGTCGGCACGCGCAGGGGAAAGGGCTTGTCCCCCGACGGCCCCGAGGAGGCCTCTTGATCCTTGTCTGGCACCTCGCCAACATGACTTCTAGCCAGCAGCGTGCCATCCTCCGCCCAGAACTCCTCTCGTCTAGCCTTGGGGGCCCCAGGCCTGCCGGAGTTGGGACGCTCCTGCGCCACGCTCGGGGCCAGGATCGCGCCGTCCCTCCCCGCACCCGGCTCAGGCGAGAGCATCTGGGGACCCGTGCGCAGGTAAGCGTTCACCAGTCGCCCCATGCCTGCACAGCAGTGCGGTGTGGGGAATTCGATATCGAGTATAGGATTCCAGCCGGCGTGTGAGTGGCTTCACACAGATTCTCCTGTGCATGCGCTCACAGGCGTGCCTGTCCTCCCCCAGCACAGACCTACCCTCTGCGGCTTGACCGCCACGGTGAATGTGGCCTAGGATGCTGCGGGCCTCAGGCGTCGGCAGGAGACCAGAGCCCCCCGCGCGACCCTGGCGCGGGGCTAGGGGCGTCTCGCACTCCGGCGCTGCTGCGTCCACCCGGGACGCCGTCCTCTGGGCGAGGGGGCTGACGGAGGACAGCCACTCGCTGACGTGGCTCGAGCCAGGAGCATCCTCCGCGAGGAAGCCCGGGGTCAAACCCTCGCTGTGCTCCGCTCGCAGGTCGTAGTGCGGCGAGTCGAAGCTGGGGTTGTCGTACAGAGCGAAGCTGGGGGCAGGTGTGTGCTGGGGCTGGGAGGCCGTGGGGTGGGGCTTGGAGGGGCCAGCGGCCACACTGTAGGCGGTGCCTGGAGCCCTGGGCTGGGACTGGGGCGGGGGAGTGGGCTTGGGAATGCGGGTCTGCGCGACGGCCGAACCTGCCCCCCCGCCGGGCTGGGACCCCCGGGAGGCCGGCTTGCTCCGGCGTGTTCCCTGGCCCGCAGGAGCAGCTGCGAAGTTGGAGTGGATGACCCCGAGAGGGGTCCGGGCTTCGCGCTGAGGGTCCGCCATGCTTCCTGAGGTTCGGGTTGGAGATTTGGGAGGTTATCAGCGAGCCTTATCTGTATCTGGGAGCATTCTTCTAGGATATATGCTGCCGGGATCCTCGTGCGACGCACCGTGTGGAGGAGCAACGCTACCCTCAAGAGTCCTTTCCCATCGCTCGCGGACTGGGCCGAGCGTAGGAGCGCGTCTGGGAATAAATTGCAACCGTTCCGCTAATGGTTCGTCGCTCGGTATTTTGCCCCGGAAGCATGCGAGCTGGCACCGCCTCACCGGTTGTTTTGAAACCGGTCTGTTGTTTGCAATCCAAACATCGACCGCGCGCGCGCCCAGGCCCCTGGTCCTTCCTCGAGACCCTCGCCTTGGGCTCTAACCCCAAACGCTTCGCATCATCGGACAATGATTAGACGATTTGAAAAACTATTATATATATACGAATCCAGGATGCAGACCGTCGCCGTGTCTCTGCTGTGTCGGAGGTCTGTGGTCGCAGCAACGCAGTCCCTCTCCCTGGGACCAGCGCCCAGTCTGGCGCACTTCCTCCATAGATACAGCACAGAGACGAATGTGCCATCTACCTCCAGCAGCGACGTGTACGTTTACACATCGCCGTACGGCCCCACGGTTCGGAATGTGAAGGTATGCATGGCTGAGTTGTTGAACAGGTCTTGGGGCCGGGGACCTCGCGCATTCGAGGTGGAGGACTACACGCGGGACCCTGGCACCCAGGGTCCCATCTTGAGGTGATGGACCACCTTCCTGGTTGACATTCCTTCCTCACCACACCCCCATCACCCCTCACCCTGACTCCCCATGTCGCTCCGCAGAGGCTGAGCCTTTTCAGCTGCGCCTGCGCCCTGGGGGCCGGTCCCATCATCCTCGGCCTGGACAGCGGCATGACCCTGGCAGCCAAGGGAAGCATCGCCGCCACGCTGGGCAGCTTTGGCGCCTTCACCACCGGCCTCTTGCACTGGTTCGTGTCCCCCTACGTCCAGCGGCTGGAGGTTGACCGTCGTACCGGCGGCGTGCGCGCCGAGACGCTGACGCTGTGGGGTACGGACCGGTGCCATGCCTTCCACCTCAGCGATGTGAGCGCCGTGTCGGGGGTGCACCCGCTCACCTCCTTCCAGGCCCTGGGCAAGACGTTCTACGTCGACCCGTCCCACTTTGGCGACAAGGAGCTGCTGGCGCGCCTCGCGCCGGAGGCCGCCGCCGTGGCCGCCGGGGCGGCGGCCGAGGAGGAGATCGAGCACGTCAATGGCACGCGATGAGGCGGCCTATCCCAACGACTTGGGACGGTGGAGCTGCTGTGGAGGTTGCCTTCTTGAGGTCTCATCGATGCCAAGCTGGTGCATGGAAGATGACTGACCCATCTGTTCGTCATGCCCGGCCTGCACTGTGCACTCGTTGGTCTTTCCTCCTGCAACACAGAACTCCACGGTCAACCCATCTTCCTTACATTCCTGTCCTCTTCCTGTGCAAGGACCCCCCACACACACATTTCCTCTCCACCATCTGTCATGCTGGCAGAGTGTACAGAACGGCGAGCCAGATTGTCAGCTCAGCGTCAGCAGGGGGTCGTCAGCGAGTGGGCGCTCCCGAACGAGCCAAGCTTGAATAGGATTCCTCAGCACAGGTGTAAGTCAAGGTCAGGGAAACAACATGCTGCGCCAGGGATGGAAGGGAGTTGGGGCGGCCGGGCGGTGGTCGTGCCCACAAGTGCCTGATGTCGCGCGCCTTAGGAATTGTTATCCCTTTGGCCCCCGTGCCGCGCCGCATCCGTGCAGCCTTGATTTGCATTCGCGGAGAGGCAGACCCAGGACGACCCTGCTCTGTCGCCGCTCCGCCCCACCCCCCTTCACCCTCTCCTCCTCACGCTCCCAACTCCTCCTCACGCCTTAGCGCGCCCCGCCTTCCTCTGCTTAGCGTCCTGGCGCTGCAGCGTCTCCAGCAACTCCTTGGCCACTTGCGCGGCGGCCAGGTCGGCCGACCCGCCGCGCAGGGCCGCCAGGTCTCGCCGGAAGCGGCAGTCGCTGGGCAGGGGGGCCGCCTCTGGCGCCCACTCCCCTCGCTCCTCCTCTGCCAGCACCCAGGCCCGCTCCCCATCCCAGTCCAGGTGGGACAGCCAGTTGCCGCGGCAGGCGGACAGCGGCACGGCGCCCCTGGGGTACCCCCAGGCCTCCAGCGCGTCCACGCCCTTGCTGCTGCCGCTGAGGGACAGTGAGCGCAACGCCTTGCCCGTCAGTCCCGACCCGGCGTCGGCCTTGGGGCGCGGCAGGGCGGCCGTGTCCAGGGGCGGGGCGCCCGACCAGCCGTCCGGCGTGCGGCAGACGATGCCGCAGAGCGTGTCGCTGCGCTGGAGCGCGGCCTCCCCGCCCGCCGACTCGGCGGTGAGGGGACCGAAGCGCAGGGCCAGCACCAGCCCGTTGGCCGCGTCCTCGAACCGCGCGGTGCCAGAGATCTCGGCGCGGGGCACGCCCGTGCCCAGGATGCCTGTTTTGGTGTGGGTATGGGATTGTGGGGGTTTGGGAGATGGGAGCGCTGAAGGGCAAGCTCAGGGGGGGGTGGCAAGGGTAACAGTCAGCTCCGCACCACGAGCGCACGGAAAGGGGTGGGCTTGCCCCCAAGTGGAAGCGCATGGCACTGGACACCTGGGGTCCGGGCACGCGAAGCAACGACGAGCCGTTGCCTTCCCTCAGACACTGCCCTGCGCAGGCCCTTGTGACTCAAACACACTGGCACATCAAGCCCTCACACAGCCTGCACCAGAGCATTCAACCAAATGCGATGCCCCCGCAACCCTTTTCCTCCACACCCCCCCACACCCTTGAGGTCGTAGACCGGATAGTCGACGGTGACAGCCCCGCCGTCAGCGAAGCGCATGACCCGTGCGCCCTTGCTGCAGGTGGACACGGCGGAGGTGCGATAGGTGACGGTCGGCTCGCTGACGCCGTTGTACACATACCGGGCCCCGGGTCCGAACAGCTGGTAGGCGGAGATGGGGGGGTGGTGCGAGGTCTGCTCCAGGAAGATGTGGGAGCCGTCCGGCAGCGAGGCCTGCCACGTCTCGCCCAGGATGGGGTTGAAGGGCTTGCGCCAGGTGGCAAAGACGAGGTGGAACCCCGCGACAAAGTAGGTGGCCACCCACTTGAGGCGCTGCAGGGGGTCGGGCGCGTCCGCCGCAGCGTCCAGGAAGCGGGGGAACACCCAGGGGTCGGCCAGTTTCTCCAGGTAGGACCGCGGCTCGAAGATGCGCACCGGGAGCGACACCTTGAGCAGGTCCAGGTTGCCCATCAGCAGATTCTTGCCCAGACCCTTCACCACCTCCATGATGGCGCTGCGCAAGGGGGGGAAGGGGGTGCTTGTGGTGCTGTGGGTGGGGCAGAGTGATGCCTTGGGTGGATGAGGGATCCTCCCTGCGATTAGGCCCCCGCCTGGTCCCTGGTGGCCCTTGCCAGGTCCCATCCCCGGGTTCGTGCCGGTTAGGGATTCCCGCCTCGTGCCAGCCGAAACCCACCCGCGTTGCTGCTTCATGAGTTCCGCATTATTGCAGGCATACCCTCCGTCCGAGTGGGCGTCGGGGTGCAAATGCACCTCCTGCGGGGACAGATCGGGGTGGAATCGGACCGGGAGGGGGTGCCCGGGAAGTGCAAAATGCGGATGCCTCCACGCCTGCCCGCTCACCCCGTTGAGGGGCTCGAAGAACACGTCCTCATCCGATGTGGTGTCATGCGGGGCGCTGGGCCTGGAAATCTGGGGCGAAGAGTCGGACATCGGGGGTTTAGGGATTCGGGGGACCAATTTCGACATCGTCAGCGTCCTTGGTCCCGAGAGGACTGGGACTCTCAGCCTCCACTCTCTACTGTTCCCGCATCCTTGGATGCAGTTCCGGGGCCAGTGAATCTATTTGTTCGGTCGGTACGCTCCGAACGGTTTGACACATCTCTGACAGCCCGTTCATCATCTCGTGGGGTTCAGGGGCACCTCGCGCGCCGCACGGGCAGATCACAGATCCATGCCGAACCAGGCCTGGCCCTTCCTAAGGTCCGTGCTGCTCCTACGGAACCGGTGTCCAGCAGCTTCGATCCATACACAAGGGAGTGGAGAGGAATGAGCCACACCTGCACGCGCGTCGCCACCCTTGGAGTCTGGAGGAATCTGTGGTAGTGTCCGTCGCTCCCCCACATTCATTCCACCATGAGGGCGGCACTGGCCGTGTTCTCCTCCGGCAATGCCCCGTGCACTCCCTTGGGTACATCAGGTTTTCCCATCGTGGCCAGTCTGAGGAGAGCCTTCGCATCTGTGAACACCCGCGCACATGGTACGTGGACCTCACACCTCTCTCGATCCGCATGAAGGTCGCATGCATGCGAGGGATCAGCGATCCAAACCCCTAATCGGGTGCACCTTATTATTCTGCTCATGCAGGTTTGAATAGGACCGCTGGGCAGCATGGGGGAGGCAGTGGTGTCCGCCCCAGGCCCTGCCAGCCCCTCCTCGCTGCTGCTGTGCCCTTCTCGGCCGGTGCCACGGCAGCCAGGCCCCTGCAGCCGCCCCGCATCTGCATCCTTGGTGGAGGGTTTGGCGGACTGAACACCGCAGTGAAGCTGGACGGTCTCGTGTGGCCTGAGGGCACCAAGCCCCAGGTGAAGCCTGGCATATGTGGCTGGCATCTTGATGGGATGGAGGTGCCAGGGCAGCTTGCAGACCCCTTTGCACCCTAGTGATGATTGTTGTGGCCATTGTGGCACCTCAACATCCCCCTTCTCCTTCCCCTCAGATCACCCTGGTCGACGCCAATGAGCGCTTTGTGTTCAAGCCCCTGCTGTACGAGCTGCTGTCAGGGGCGGCGGGGGAGGAGGAGGTTGCCCCCACCTTTGAGAAGATCCTGCGCCCCACCTCCGTCTCCTTCGTGCGTGGCCAGGTGGAGAGCGTGAACGACGGCCCTGCCACCGGTCCAGAGGTATGTTGGTGCTGGGATGAGTGGTAGTTTGGCATGGGTGTGATTGCACATATACCAAATTACATTCCAATCCTGCTGGACACCAGAGCAAGTTGCCTGAGGTGTTATATGCTCGCCTCAGCCGTCACCCCTGTGCTTTTATCACCCCCACCGACTATTGTACCTCATGTCTCCCTCCCCAACCGCCCCCAGGCGTCGAGTGGGGGCAGCGTGACGCTGAAGGGCGGCGCCCTCCTCTCCTACGACTGGCTGGTGCTGGCGCTGGGCAGCGAGCCGCGCGACGCCGGCGTGCCCGGGGTCAAAGAGCTCACGCACGGCTTCACCTCCTACGAGGACGTGCTGGCGCTGCGCGGCGCGCTGGTCGCCTTGGCGGGCAACCCCGCGCCGCGCGCCGTCGTCGTGGGCGGCGGCTATGCCGGCGTGGAGCTGGCCGCCGTGCTGGCGGACGTGCTCCCGCCCGGCGCGGCGGTGTCCCTGCTGGCCTCGGGGTCGGACATCCTGCCGGCAGCCCCCGCAGGCCAGCGCCAGATCGCGCGCGAGGCGCTGGCGGGCAAGGGCGTGCGCGTCGTGACGGGTGCGCGCGTGGCCGCCGTGGAAAGCGCGGCTGGGTGGGCCGGGGGGGCCGGGGCGGCGGGGATGACGGGGACGACAGGGGTGGCTGGAGTGGCCGGGGTCCCGGGGACGGCGACGTCGCCCCTCACGGCCGCTCCCGTCAGCTGGACCACGCCGCCGCGGCGCGTGCTCCTGGAGGGCGCCGCCGCCGCCGCGTCGGCCCCCGACCCATCGCTGGAGGCGGAGGTCGTGGTGTGGGCGGCGGGGTCAGGGCCCACCCACGCCCCCGGCGCGGGGCCTCCGGCTCGGCGCCCTTCCCCACCGACGCCGGCGGCGCGACGCAGACCGACGCCACGCTGCGCGTGCTGGGCCACCCCCACGTCTTCGCGCTGGGCGACGTCGCGGTGTGCGCCGAGGGGGCCGGCTCCCCGGGGTCGGGCGTGTCCGCCCCCCCGCGCCTGCCGGCCACGGCCCAAGTGGCGCTGCAGCAGGCGGACTACGTGGCCTGGAACCTGTGGGCGGCCGCGACGGGGCGCCCCCTGCTCCCCTTTGCCTACCAGCACCTTGGGGAGATGATGAGCCTGGGCAGCCGGGCCGGGGCGGTGACCCTGCCCCTCCCCATCCCACCCGCGCTGGCCGACGCGGCGCGCGGCGCCGCGCTGGGACCGCTCCTTCGCGCCGCGGGGCTTTCGGTGCACGGCGACGGCTCCGGCGCGCCGGACCGGCTGTCGCTGGAGGGGCCGCTGGCGGCGGCGGTGCGCCGCGCGGCCTACGCCTACCGTCAGCCCACGCCGGAGCAGCAGGCGCGGGCCGCGGCCGACCTGGCCAAGCGCGCGCTGGGGGACGCGGCGGGCCTGGCGCGCAGCTTCCTGGACCAGGCCGCTAAGGGGCTGAAGAGCGGCGCCCGCTGACGAGGATCGTGGCGGTGTGGTTGGACGGCACGGCTTCGGGGGGGATGGCGTAGCTCCCTGCATGGCTCTCCCTTGCTTTCTTTGGGAATGCTATGCCTGTAAACCTGTACAGCAGTTTGGAGGAGCCAACCTGACAACAGAAACCGAGCTGCAGAGTTGTCGAAATGTGGCCTGCGATGCCGGGCAAGGGCGCAAGGGGCAGTGCTATGGGCGAGGGGTCGAGGGGTCAGGGGTCAGGGTTGATGTATGGACGAGTCGAGAGTCCGGCTATAGCATGGCCGCGCAGTGCGGCTCCGAGCCCGAGGCTGCTCAGGGCTCGAGGCTGTTGCTGCGGCCCCACCACCCCCCGCCAGGCACGGCGCGGCCCTTGGCCGGGCTGGTGGCAGGCTTGCTGGGCGAGGAGTGCGCGCTATCGTTCCCCGACGGCGCCCCCGCCGCCGCGTCCCGCCTCGTCGCTTCCAGGCTCGCCGCCAGGCTCGCCACCCGCTCCTTGTACCTGGCCAACAGGCCCTCCGCCTCCGACAGCCGCAGCAGGGCTGAGACCTTCTGCGCCGCGACCTCCTCCAGCGAAGACCGCGCCTCCGCGGCGCCCGCCTCCAGCGCCACCGCCTCCTTGTCGCGCCGGACCAGCGCCGCGTCGGCGGCCTCCCTGCTCGCCGCCGCTGCCGCCAGCTCCGCCTCCAGGCCCGCCAGCTGGCGCCGCGCCGATTCAAGTTCTGCCTGCGCCCCTCTCTTCGTGTCGCGCTCGGCCTCCAGCTCGGCCCCCTGTCGCTTGTAGGCCGCCGCAGCGCCGGCCGCGGCCCGTGCGGCCTCCTCCAGCCGGCCGCGCAGGTCCTCCGCCTCCTCCCCGGCCCGCGCCAGCCGGCGCTCCAAGGCAGCTTCCCGCCGCAGCGCCGCAGCCAGCTCCTCCCTCAGGCCCGGCAGCTTGGCCGCCTCCGCCGCCAGGGCCTCCAGCCGCGCGACCTCAGCCCGGAGGACCGCCTCCCGCTCTTCGGCGGCCAAGCGCGCCGCGCCCTGCGTCGCCGCATGGCCCTCCGCGTCTTCCAGCCGGGTCTCCAGCGCCAGGGTCCGCTCACGCAGACCCTCCGCCTCGTAGGCGGTGCGGTCCCGGTCCGCCACGGCCCGGGCGGAGGAGGTCTGATAGAAAGCAAGCTCGCGGTCCAGTAGGGCGGACCGGTCCAGGGCGTCTCGCAGCCGGGCGCCCGTGTCTCGGTGCGCAGCCTTCAGGGCACGCAGGTCCTCCCCCAGGCTGGAGGCCTGGGCCTGGGAGGCGGCCAGGGCTGCCCTGCAGCTAGACAGCTCCTTGTCTGCTTGGCATCAGGCCAGGGGAGGGATTTATTGATGGGCAGTCCTTACATGAGCTCCATCTGTGGTGCATGCTTCACATATCAAGCCCACTCGTGCTCACCTAGATACAATGGTTACCACAATAAAACAAGTTCGCACCCCAGGGTCAGGTGCTAGACGAATGGGAGGGTGCGGTCGACTCGGACCCCCCCTGGTCCCATGAAGGGCATGCACTCCCACCATCCGACCCCACACCAGAACCGCTGCGCACCAGTGTACCGGATTCTTTCTTGCAGGACAGATGAGGAATTGAATGTGGTGTTGGATGTGGTCTGCAGGCACAGCATCTCCACGTCCGACTGCAAGGCTGCCTTGTCCAGCTCAGACTGTGCGAGGCGAGCCCTCAAGCTCTCCAGCTCGGCCTGAACGCCAGCCTCCACCATGCCGCGCGGTGCGACGTCTGAGGGATCAAGCACGTCAAGACAGAAAGGGGTATGGGTTTGGGCTGTGGCGATTCTCTCGTGCGCTGAGGAGGGTGCCTGCATGCACGGAGTTGAACGGGGAATCGATGTCGGAGGCATGCAACGCCTGCTGGGAAATTCCCTGTTTCTCATATCCATTCAAAACAAGTCGCGAAACCCGACACCAAAGTTTCCAACAATGTTTGTTATAGCATATGTACATCATGAAAGATCTGTGTAGCTTGCAGACAGTGCGAACTTGCTCAGTCTAATGATTTCCTGCAAGGGCATGTCCGCCTTAGTGGCTCCCAAGGCCACTGGGGAGGGCCGTTACCCTGGAGCCCTCACGACTCAAGTCCTAATCCCCACGGAGCGCATGAACGAAGTCTTGCAAGACGAGGGCCATCATTTCATGACAACCGTCACCCGGAACGTCTATCGCTCCACCAAGATCTGCATATGACCCGACATCCGAGGGGACCCCGCACTGAGACCGCGCTTCTATTCTATTGTTGTCCCAGCACCCACCCTGGCCCTAACACACGCAGGATTGGGTTTCATTGAAGTTACGTGCGTGATCGCGGTCCCGGCAAACCTGAGTGGGTGGGGAGCGATGACATGAGGCGTTGCAATGAAGTAACACATGCGAACACAGTAAGACCTGGCGCACCCATGTGCCCAGTCCTTGCCGCAGGGTTGTTAGAATTCGCCAGCTCTCGAGAGAATACAGAAGCCGTTTGCAAACTCTAGAAATTTCAATCGTCGCCCGAGATCTTCGGCTAATGTCAGATCCCATTCTTTCGGCCCGTTGGGGTACTATTGAGCAAGCATGCTGTAGGGCCAGGTGTGGCCCATCAAAGTCACTGCCTGCTTGATTCCCAAGCATCTTAATGTCTTGTTCCGGGCTGGGGCCACTCACCGTTGATCTGCATTGTATTACTTCCACCCGACCACTTGGGAGACGCAGATGCAGAGCACCTGGATGGCATTTTTGTCCCATGTCCATGGAGTCGCCGTAAAGTGGACAGGGGAGCTCAAAACATCCTGACCCTGACCGGGTAAAGTACTGTTACTTCATGTTCGATGAAACCGCAACTTCTTTGCCTTCCATTCCCACGTTCCATTGCCGCCTACACGGCTGAGACCATTCACTTGGTGCTGTATGTCCAAGGGTAGAGCACATCGCAGTCGCACCCATCCTGAAAGGGGCAGTGGCAAGTGGCGGCAGGCTGCTTCAGCAGTGAGATAATGGCCAATCTGACATTGTACCCGCCGGGGAGGCCATGTGTGATGAACATCTTGGCTAGCATCCAGGCAGGCAGTGTGTGGAGAAAATATGTCTGGGCGAAGTAAAGTTCAGGGATGAGAGGTAATCACTCATGGCCAACCGTGGGCCCAACGGGGATCACCGGATACACTCAATGTGTGCCAACTGCGATCTATAGCCCTTGCACTCGATACTCTATCGTTCTGAATTATGTTAATATTTGGAAGTCGGCTCATGAGATGCGTTCGCATCCCCGACGGGCCACTTCAAGGCCCCGCCGCGCAAGGAAAGTAGGTCCGGCCTAGCAGGGCACTCTCACAGCCCGACCAAGAAATGCTTTGCATTTGTGTTACTTGTTCAAACATGGGTCTGCTGGGATGGCGCCGGGCTGTGCACTCAGTATTGTCCCGGGAGTGTCGGTTTGGGGACGCAGCACGTCTCCCTCTGCCTGCGAAGTGACTCAGAAAGGTCTGGGGTGACCGCATGGTCGACCCCATGCCTGCGATGGGGCACATGAAAGCTTCATCACCATCATCCCGGTTGCAGCCGGCATCGAAACCATGTTGGATTGAGAAGGGCCCATGACGGTGGAGGGGGGGGTCCCCCCGGGGCTACGAGAGGAGGCGCTGCAGCTCCTGCACAAACACTGGGGTGGGTTTGAGTGGGTGATCGGAACCCCTGTGGAGCGAAAACCCGTGGCGGCACAGCCTCAGACGTGTTGCCCATGCCTTGCTGCTCATCTATGATGAACATGACCGTGCTTGGCCGCCGGGAATCACACAGATTGATCTGAGTGCGATCGCCCCTTGCCACAGAGCATGACGCGTTCTGCCCCAACCAGCTGGAGGCCATCACGGCTGCGATGGCAGGCACGTGCTCTCGTCCGGCCCAGGGTGGATGTTGCCTTGGCGTGGGACCCAGCAGGCACGGGGCATCCCCTCCTTGCGGCCCAGGGCATGCTCCTTCACCCACCCGCAGTGTCGATGACCACAACCACACCCCCCCACACACCGCCGCCTGTGCCAGGCCGAGACTGCTTGGTGCTCATGTCGACGGGCAGCGGCAAGTCCCTGTGCTTCTGCCTTCCTCCCCTGCTGGCTGGCGGTCACGGCCCCGGCGTGGCCCTCGTGGTCAGCCCGCTGATCGCTCTGATGGAGGACCAGGTGCAGGGCCTGCGTGCGCGGGGTGTCCCTGCCGCCGCCCTTTCCTCCTCGCTCCCCACCCAGCAGCGGCGCGACCTGCTCGCCGACCTACAGGCGCCGCGGCCCGAGACGCGAGTCCTGTTCGTGACCCCGGAGTACCTGGCCACCGCGCCGGCGGACGCGCTGCTGGGCGGGCTTGCGGCCGCGGGGAAGCTGACCCTGTTTGCGGTGGACGAGGCCCACTGCATCAGCTCCTGGGGCCACGACTTCCGGGCCAGCTACAGGTGGGTCCCCGGCGGGTGGAGCCGGGGGGGGTGGGGGTCAATGGGGTGCATTCATTGTGTCCAGTGGTGATGGGCGTGCTGTGTGCTCTGGGTGTCGGTACCCAAGTTTGAGATAGTGGAGAACGTTGTCGAAACATCCCGGGGGCCCTCTCTGGCACAGCCTGGTGGATGATCAGACCTGTAATTTTGCCCTCACTCCCTGTCCTACAGGAAGCTGGGCTCCCTCAGGTCCCGCTTTCCAGAGGTGCCCATCATGGCCCTGACCGCCACGGCCACCGCCAGGGTCCAGGACGACATTGTCTCCCAGCTCAGGCTTCGTGACCCGGTCAGGCTGGCCTCCTCCTTCGACCGGCCAAACATACACTACTCCGGTGGGCGGGGCGACGCGGAAGCGCAGAGTGCAGGGGGGGGAAGGAAGTCTGCAGGGCACCCGCCGAGGTGCCAGCTGGGCTGTGCCCTGCGCAGGCACATCAGGACGGGCCTTGCAGCTCGATGGGTTCTACATGTTCCAACCCCCAGCCAAAACAGGCGTCGAGTGTTGGTTCCCCCCCCATCACCCGCAACTTGCAGTCGTGTACCTGGACATGGCCGCCTCAACACCGTTCCTGCCCGCCACCCCCGCCCACTCCGCCGAGGGAAGCTCCCCCCGGGAGCAGTGGGCCGACGACGACCCAGCGCCGCACGTCACGCGCCTGCTGCAGCAGCACCGACCGCGCGCGGCCATTGTGTACTGTCGCTCCAGGGAGCTGGTGGAGAGCGTGGCGCTCGCGCTCGCCAGGGCCGGCACGGCGGCGCGGCCCTACCACGCCGGCCTGGGCGCCGCCCAGCGTGCCGAGACGCAGGCCGCCTGGTCGGCGCGCCAGCTCCCCGTCATCGTCGCCACCATCGCCTTTGGCATGGGCATCGACAGACCAGGTGCTGGCGGAGTGGAGGGCGATGGGCATGTGCTCGGAGTGCAGGGGTGTGAGGACAAAGTTGTGGGTTCGGGTGCTCAGCTTGCTGCCACTCTGTGGTCCCTCACTTCCCATCCTCACCACACGCCGCCGTCCTTGGAACTCCATGTCGATGCAGACACCCCTCCCCCCCGCCCCCCCTTCCACCTTCTACAGATGTGGACCTGGTGATCCACGCCACCCTGCCCAAGTCCCTGGAGGGCTACTACCAGGAGAGCGGGCGCTCGGGGCGTGATGGCTCCCCCGCCCGGGCCATCCTGCTCTGCTCCCACCGGGACTGCGGGGCGCTGCGCTACCTCGCGGCCCTCGAGCTGCGGCGTGCGGCGCAGAAGGGAGGCGGGGCCGCGGGGAGGAGTGCGGTGGGCGGAGTGCGCGGCGCGGGCGCCGGCGATGCCTCCGACGACGCCTCTCGAGACGCCTCCGGCCCCGTGGTCGACTACTGCCTGGTGGCCCGCTGCAGGCGCCGGGCGCTGCTCGCCCACTTTGGCGAGTGGCTGACCGTTGGATCGGGGAAGGCCGGCGAGGCTTTGGGCCACGGGTGCTGCGACGTGTGCGACGCGCCCGCCGCGGTTGCCTTGGCTGCGCGGGCGGCGGCCCTGGGCCCCAGCACGACGCCGCGCCTCGCCCGCCCCGGGCACACCCAGGAAGGCAGGGCCCCCGACCTCCTGGACTTTGAGCGGGAGCGGCCGCACGAGGGCTTGGACTTTGAGGACGACCCGGACAGGCGGGAGGCGGCGTGCGAGGTGCAGCGCGCGCAGAGCAGAGTCACCGCCCGCGCCGAGGCCGCCGCGGCCGGCGCCGTGCGCCGCGCCAAGCGCGGCGGCGCCGACGTGCTGGAGGCCCTGGAGGCGGCGGAGCGGAGGCACTTGCCAGTCCCACCCCGCCCCGGCCCGTCGTCGCTCCTGGCGCGGCTCGAGGGCGGCGGTGGCAGCGGCGGTGGGGTCGGCGCCGAGGCGCGGCGGCAGCGGCCCCGGGCGGACGCCGACCCGGCCGCCGTGGCGGCCGCGCTGGCCGCCGTGGAGCGGCGCCTCGCCTCGGCCATGGGGGCCAACCCCGCGCTGGCGCCGCATGCCCACGCCGCGGCGCGCCTGGCGGCCACGCTGTTCGTCCCCGGCGCGGCGCTGGCCACGGTCAAGGCGCGCGCCGCCAACTTCATCCTGCGGGCCTCCCGGGCGGGGCGGGTGGAGGACGTCGTTGGTCTTCCCCAGGTCCTGGATGCAGACGGTGCTGGTGATGTGCTATTGGGGCGACAGCCAGAAGCAGGAGACGGGAGCCAGACCGACTCTGCCATCGCGACCGCCCTGGAGGGCATCGCCAGAGGCGGCCAGGCCCTGAAGATGGGCGGCGAGGTGGGCGACGCGCTCGCGCTGGAGGGGCTGCTCACTGGTCTGGTGCGCCGTCCCATCTCCGCCGCCCAGCTGGCAGCCTCCGGAGCGGGCAAGGGCGCGCGGCGCCTGCAGTCCCACCCCTGCACGCGGGTGGCTCAGGCGGCTCGAGACCTGGTCGAGCGCTGGAAGGCTGGGCTGATGAAGCATGGCTAGGAGTGGGAGTTGACGGCCGGCGATGTGCGCCTGGCAACCTCACGATGCATCGGGCATCCCTCGTGTCCGCAGCCCATACTCTAATCGGCCCAATTTGTACTGCACAAGTATCTAGCGAGTGGTATCCTACCTGCATTGCGCCTTCCTTCATCCCAGTGGCTCCCTCCCCTTCCTGTCACCACTCGCGACCCTTGATCGCCACCTCGCGCTCTCGCCTACATACAGTTTGCTGCAGCAGCACTCTCAGCAATGCAGGGATGGGCATGGTCATGCAGCAAAGGGTTCAATCGGTGCAATGCAATCCAGGATGAACCTGCTTCTTTCCAGCGAGGTCAGTGGGCAGGGCTTGGTGATACAGGGGGGCCGCAGTCCGGCAGGGGGCAAAGGGTGTGGTCGCGTGGCTGCAGCGATGCGCGTGCGGGCCCTGGAGCAGAGTACATTCCCAAGGAGCGCAAGGGGCGCTCGTGGCAAGAAGCCATCTCGATGGGGAGTCTGCAGGGAAAGGAGGTGGAGCGTGAAGCAGAGGGGGTGGCCCCGATGTTGAGACGTGGTCTCTGCGCCGACACAGCTGCTGTGGAGGGGCCTCTTCAGTCGGCCGTGCCAATCTCTGCTCCTCAAAACTCCAGGCCTGCAAACAGCTCGTCCTCCAGCTCCGGCAGCGCGCAAGGGGGCAGCCCGAAAGGTCCCCTCCTGCCGCCAGGAGGTCCAGCTCCTCCGCAAACAGCTTCTTGTGTCCGATGACGGGCAGACCCAGGGGGCTCATCGCCGGCAGGAGTCCGCCGGAGAAGGTCCCGCCGCAGCCAGCGGGGGGGCCGCCCCGCCGCCCGAGGTCCCGGGGGTGAACATGAGCTTGCCGGGGGACAGGAACATGTTGCACGCCGCGGCAAACAGCTCCTCGGTCCCGGGGCTGAGGAAGGAGGTGGCCAGGCTGGCCAGGTCGGGCTCGGGCAGGGCCAGGCGGGGCAGGGCCTGGGGCGCGGCGTCGGGCTGGCGGGGGGTGTGCAGCGCAGTCGCCCCCTGCGACGTGGCGTTGGCCGGGGTGGCAAAGGTGTCGGCCAGGCGCGAGCGCCCCACGGCGTGCGCGGGCCGCCGGCGGCTGCCGTGGGAAGGGGCGCGGCGGGGGGGGCGACCTTGGTGCGTGCCTGGTGGCCCAGGCGCAGGCAGCGCTGCAGGTAGCTGAAGGTGGCCCACAGGTCTCGATTCTCCTCGTCCATCACGGCGCTCTGACAGTCGTAGAGAGGGAGGTGGAGGTGTTGGGTGGAGGGTTGTGACAGTCATGTGCGGAGTTGACACGACTTTCCGGGGGCACCCCGACCCCGACAGCCACCCGACGCAGCATTCAAACGGACACCGCGGCTCGCACCTGGCTCTCCGCCTGCTCGATCGCGGCCTCCATTTCGGCGATGCTCTGCTCCAGTTCCCGGACCTCCGCCTCCATGGCACGAATGCGGCCATACTGGACGACCGGGCGCGTGTACGTGAGGTCCGGGAAAGGGGTCAGGCACAGCTTCTGCGCAGGGGGCAAGCTGTCGGACAGCGAGCCGAAGTCGGTTGCGAGCAGGCCGTCAAACTTCCGCTTCTTCTTGTTGCTGCGATACAGGGGTGAGATAGTGAGTTTGGGGTCGAGGCGCTGGCCGAGGGGACCGGGACGTGCCCGCACCAGCCGAGATCCCGCACTCACGTCGGTGCCACGGAGTCCAGGTTGTCGAAAGACAGGTGGCCATCTTTGACCGCAAAGTCTTCGAAGAGGTTCGCCGCCAGCGGCGAGGTCAGGCTGAAGCCCTTAGGGCTGAACAGGCTGGTGAAGGGGGTGAGCAAGTGCTCCCCGAAGTCCGTCTTGAGGGGCAGGGGGCTGAACATCCTGTTCCGGAGTTTGTCAGGTAGTGTCAGTCAAGAGTCAGGAGTCAGTCGGGTCAGGTCGTGTCGCCTTCTTGGTCAGTATTGATAGGGTTGTGCGCGCGACAGATGGGGATGCCGGGTATCATTTTGAAAGCAGCAGAAGCCGGCTGCTCCGGGGTCGATCGATCGCAAGCCCCTCTGTCTCTGGAGCAGGGGAATTTGCGCTGCACCGAAAGCCTACCAGCGCCCGGTGTCTCCTCAGTGCTCCGATCCATAGCCAATGAGTTTACAGACCAATGAAATGACTCAACGTGAGTGCTACAATTGCACAGGGTGCGTGGATGTTGTTTTGGTGTGCCTCCGCAGAGGCTTCGTCACTCGCGTCACTCCCCTGCTGACCCATCGGATCAGGGGGTCGAACGATATGCCGCGAGGGCACCAGAGCAGGGCAAAGAACGCCAGCATGCGCAGGATGAGGCCCTGGGCACCCAGAATCAGCAGCCCCTTTCGGGCCTCGCCGGCGCAGTACACATTGATGTCCAGCGACATGTTCAGCAGCGCCTCTGGGACGAGGCCTGTGGGTGATGAGGGGAGGGTGAGGGAGGCGGCGGTCACGAAGGGAGGACTGGGGTGCGCCCACGGGAACGCACGCATCTGCGCCGGGCCGCTGTTGGCCGACTGCTCTGACCCAGGGGTCGCAGGGCCAGGCTTGCATAGACCCTGCCCCACTTCCGCATCCACTACACACCTGACCCGGCGGTGGGCTCCTCGATGCTGTCCAGGCCGCACTGTCCAGAGGCAAACATGATGGACCGGGTGAGGGGCCACTGCCAGGGCGGCTGCTCCCTGAAGTCCCAGATGGCCGCCGCGTCAGCGGCCCACCTGCGTGGGGTTGGGGTGGTCAAGGAGGGTGGCACGGGCTCTGACTTGGGAAGTATTGAGAAATCTTGTACAGGCCCAGCACAGAACCCACTGAGGCTCTGTGCTGGGCCAATCACTGCCTCCTGGAGCAGGAAGCATGTCCCCAGCAGCCTCGTCGCACCTGTTGTAGCTGAGGACGGTGATGCCTTTCAGCAATGGGGAGAGGCTTCGGTACACGGGATTGACCCCGTTGATGAACCTGCGGGCGTTGGTGGAGCGGGGAGCAGGCATGAGCCGGAACAGCTTCTTGAGCCTTGGCCGTGCATTCCAGGCGGGGAAGGCCACGCAAGGCGTTGGGTCTGACCGGCCATCCGCGGCAGTGCGGGAAGAGTGCCACTCACGCTGATCGCCGACCCTGGACCCCTCCCCAAGTCCACACCCCCCCTGCCAAGCACACACACACGCCGACTCACCCCCCGATGACCATCAGGATGGCGACCGAGGCAACCAGGGCGCTGTTGTTCCCCATGATGATGGACATGAGGCAGCCCAGGGACGCGCACCAGAACACCACCAGCACGCCGATGACATACAGCTACGATGGAAGAGCATGGGTGCAGGCGGAGTGAGAGGAGGCGAGGTGAGGTGCATGCCATGGACGTGTGGGCGCAAGCGCCGCCGGCCCCTGCTCGCCACCCCCCCCAACACACACACACACAACTCCAACGCCTCACCAGCCCAAAACTGATGCTGGGGATTGTCATGCTGTAGTACACGGACAGGAAGACCAGGGGCTGTATGAACACGTCCACCATGTTGGTGGTGCTGTTGGCCATGAAGTAGGAGAAGACCCTGACCCCCGACTCGCGCTCGCGCCAGTGCACCAGGCGCTCCTTCCCGAACACGGCCAGCGCGCCCGAGGCGGCGATGATGCCCAGGGTCAGCATGATCAGTGCGATGTGCCCCTTGAAGTCCCAGTTGGTCCAACCCGTGCCGTGCATGGCGCCTGTGGTGAGTGGGTGAGGGAGAGCGTTGCGATGAATGGTGTTGGCCGGGGAGGGGTGGATCGCAGCGCAAACAGAAGCTGGGCAGAAGCCGGCTGCACAGCGGGGCACCGGACGGGCTTCCAGCCCGACACCTGTGAGCCAGCCAGCCGGTGGACCCACTCCTCCTCACCGGTGACGATGCCCGCGAAGACGAGGAGCAGAAGGTCCAGGAATTTGGTGCCCCAGGCGCGGGACAGCTTGATCCCGGCGCGGACGAGCAGGAAGGCGTATTGCCTGCCCCAGCCCGGCGTGACACGCAGCACGGAGCGCCCCGGCCGCCGCCAGCAGCGCATCAGGCCGCCGCACGGTGCGCGCCGCCCGCGCGCCTCGTCCAGCGTGGCCAGCGACCCCGCGCTGCCGCCGCGCGCGTCCGTCCCCGAGGCCGACGGCGTGTGGGAGCGCACCGCGTCGGGCGTGGCGCGCCCCGACGCGCCGCCGTTGGCGCCGCCCAGCTCCTCGCAGCAGCTGAGCTTGAGGTCGGGGGTGACCGACCCGCTGGCGCCCTTGTCGTCCTCGCCCCGGCCGCGCACGACCGCCTCCCAGGCCGCTCGCAGGCCCTGCTCCTCCACGCCCTCGCCGTACCCAGCGCCCGGGCGGTCGAAGCGGATGGCCACCGGCGCGTCGTGCGTGGCGGTGGAGGAGCGCGAGTGGACCAGCGGGTCGCCGCCGCCCTCCTCCTCCCCCTCCTCGGCCACGGGGGGCAGCGGGGGCGCGCCGGCGCCGCGCCGCGGGCTGCCCGTGCTACTCTCCTCCAGCGGGATGACGCAGAAGCGGGGGGACATGATGCGCGTCGGGCTGTGATCCTCGTCTTCGTGCCCGGGCGCCGCGGCACCGGTCGCGCCGCCACCCGCGTCCCCGCGCCCGCCGCGGCTCCGCCCCAGCTCGCCGCCCGCCACGACCGCGCTGGCCAGCTCCTTGAGATTGCCGGCGGGGCGCAGGCCGGAGGGCAGTGCCGCGGCGGACAGCTCCGCGATGGCCGCCGACAGCGTGTACTGCTCGATGCTGTACACGCGGTAGATGCTCTGCACAGCGCGCCGGCCCGAGGCGGAGGGCGGGCCGTCGGGCGCGGAGGCGGGCGGACGTCCGCCATACTGCACGTACTGCATGAAGGCCTCCTTGCTGACCAGGCCGGTGCGCGGGATGGCCAGCTCCGCCATGATCATCTGGATGTCCAGTGTGCTGGGCTCCAGCCCCAGCGCGCGCAGCAGGACCTGCAGGTCTCCGGCGCGCAGCGCGTCGTCGCCGTCGGCGTCCGCCGCATCGAACTGCTCGCTCAGCAGCGCAAACTGCTCGGGGTCGATGCGCAGCTGCTCCGGCGGGCGCGAGCCGTAGGTGGGGTCTGTTGTGTGTGTGTGTGGAGGGGGGTTGGGGGTTGATGAGGGGAGACCCTGAGGTGGGAGTGGTGGGGGTGTCTTCTGGGGGAGCTAGGGAGCGGTTGCGAGGGAGCAACGGTGGTGGTGTTGAGGGAGGTAAGATGCGGTCTCAAGGCGTAACAAGAGGGTTGAAGCAAGGAAAGTAGAAGCAACTCCCCTCTTTCACCCCTCTTTCCCCCGCAAAGGAGCGACCCCCTCCACCCAACCCACCCTTCCGCTCACCCAGCGGCATGAGCTTGCTCTGGGTGCGCACCCAGCTGAGGCCGTAGGTCTGCCACAGCCCCACCAGCCGCTCGGGGTGGAAGGCGTCGCAGCCGCGCTGGGGCACGCTGCCGCTGATCACGTCCATGACAAAGTCGGCGGGGTTCTCATGCAGCGGCAGCTCAAAGTCCAGCGATTCGAAGTAGGGCATGGCCAGCCAGGAGGGGCCCAGATACACCAGGCGCCCGCCCTTGCCCAGCAGCATGATGTCGTCGAAGAGCGCGAAGATGGAGAAGCGGGGCTGGTGCAGCACGGCGATGACGTTCATGCCCAGGCCCGCCATGCGCTTCAGCG